ATGCCACTTTGCTGATTCCTGAGCTAGCAATCTGTGTCTTCTCTCTTTGGAAGCTGGAGCCCTGTCCAGTCTCTTCTTAGGACCTTTCTCATCAGTTGCATAAACTTCTGAGGCCTACGTTTTTCTATCTGCAAATTAAGAGGATGAGACTTTTCAAGGTCTCTGGTACTTCTAATTTGATCAGTCTTGTTAGAGAGTTGTCTTGTTTATTGGGTTTGTATATACAGTTTGTGGTTTCATTGATATTCTCTATTTTTTTAAAAATTTCATTGATTTATGCCTTGCCCTTTATTAATTCCTTTCTTCTTACTTTGGATTTCATTTCTTTATTCTTTCTGGAGTATTAAGTTTTACACTGGTCATTAATTTAATACTGGCCTTTTAGTATAGTCATTTAATGTCATAAATGTCCCACTGATCATTGCATTCATTGCTTGCCACAAGTGATGCTGTGTTCTCTCATTTTTATTCAGTTCAGAATACTCAGATTTCTTCTTCACTCCATGGATGATTTAGAACCACGTTACTTCATTGTCAATATTTTGGCACTCTCATTTTTTCACTGAGTGCTTGGCATTTCAATTTGTGTTTTATTGACTGCTAGATTTTGTTATATTGTTTTAAGAACACTAGTCCCTTTCAGGTCACTACATAACTTAAATGACATGACGATTGTCTTGATCCTTGTTTTGTGCTCGTGAGCCTTTTTGTAAAAGTTCTTTGAGAGCAACTCTCCATGGCCATTACTGTAGGGTCTCTTAACTCCCTACCCACTCATTACCTCTCTGGCCTCTGTTGAAAAATCCACATGTTCTAGGAGTTTCTGCACCATGACTTTAGAGAAATAAAACAACTTCTAGCACTGTGTGAGCTCTGGGAGTTTTTCCAGCTTATTCATCCCTGGTGCCTGTTTTTTCCAGTGCTTTTTCTTTGCTCTACCTCCTCCAGTGCAGAGATAAGCAAACCTCATAGTGCAATCCAAGTGCTACCGAGTTTCTCCCACTGTCCTTTCATAGTTTAGTCTATGGGGTCATCTTCCCTACTATGACAGGAAGACTCCAGCACCGATGAGACTCCTGCTCATTGTTAAGTGATAGGTAGTCTATCACTAAGCCACAAATACAGTCAGGGCAAAAATGACAAAATCCAGGGACCAGTGACTTAAGGTGATCCCATGAAACTTCCAGGAAGTCTTACTGTGCTAAACTCCATATATATATGTATATTCATCTCCTCAAGATCCACACCTTTTTTTCAGTACTGGGAATTGAATTCAGGGCCTGACACATAAGGCAAATTCTCTGCAGCTAAGTTGCATCCTTGACCCTTTTTGTCTTTTAATTTTTTTATTTTGGTAGAGGTTTTCTAAAGTTGTCTAGGCTAGACTTAGAATCCTCCTGCCTCAGCTTCCTGATTACTTGGGTTTACAGGTGTGATATACCACATCTGGTTCTAAAAAAACATATCTCTGTTCTCTGAGGGTCTCTTTCCTCATGTCCAGAGTTTGAGGATCGCACCTTCTCTCAGTTTCCTGACATTGTGGAAAGCTTGGCAAAATATCACCCACTGCTTGCCAAAAGATCTCTTCTTTGCTCTCTTGCACCTTCCTGCCTTGACCTTTCTTCTGTATCCTTCTGTGTTCAGCTGAGAAGTCCAAGAATGACACCCAGATTCTCAAGTGCATTCTTTGAAGGTCTTCGTGACATGGTTTGGCACCTTTCTTTGGAATTTTACATCTATTATGTTTTGCTGCTTGGTGGAAACTTCAGATTTCAGATCCTATTACACAAGTAATAAACAAACATGATTCATGGGCCAATCCTTTAACCACAGGCCATTAGTGTAACATTTGGCTTTGTGAAAGATTTTCATTTCTGTGTGCATTGTGTAAAAAAATTTTAAGATGAGGGGGTGGAGTAGGCAACTCTTGAGTTTTATTTAATCTTTTACCAGCTCTGTGTCACTTGTTAATCAGAGTCATAATCATACAGTGTGCATAAAATAATTTGAAATAAAATTTCTTACAGAGTGAATATAGTGGGTATTTGTCTATACTGGTAGTAGATTGATTCCTCAAGGGCATCATGCAGTTCTTGACCACTAAACTATCTTTCAGGAGCAGAGAGCAGTGAGTCTATGATTCTCTGGCAGGACAAGAGGCAAGTTCTCTCAAATTAATTCCTTCAGCAGTTGACCAGTCTAAACATAGTCTTAATGCGCACCATAATAACATGTTTCAGCAGAATTAAAAGGGAGGAGAAAGTGACAGATGGCTGTGTTGCTGAGGTTTGGATATCCTTATGGGGTTGCCTGACTCCATAGCAGAGAGCAGAGGCAAGGGAATGCCAGGCCAAGGTCCCCAGATGTGGTATAACTAAATGATCTGTACTGCTGGTCCTTCTTGACCTCTGCAGTTAAGATGGAGAGCCAAAAAGGCTGTGTGTTTTAGGAATCTTTCCTTCTTGTTTATTTGTATAAAAACTCAGGAGAGAAATAGTTGAATAAAATCCAAGAGAATTTCTTTCATTTCACTTCTCTGGAGACCTGAATCATGGAGCTGGAAGGCACTTGCTTGACGTCTGATGGGTAAAGTGGTGACTCACAGAGCTGGTGTTTCTTAGCCTTTTTAAATACCTAGAGTAAAATTTCCCACTTTTCTGAAAAGTCTGACTTTCTCCCTGCCCTCACCTTGAAGTCTTAGGCTTTGTGATCTCAGGGAAGCACAGAAAATACTGACAAGCTTTTTTTTTTTTGCTTCCTATAGTGTCTTTTACAAAAACAGGCATCCATAGGCTTGCAAACTACATATGCATGTATTATATCATTGGGTGTGCTTTTACACTTTATACTTTTGCATGTTAATATACCACTATTTATATAAGATATTTGATATTTCAGAAGGCAACAGACTTCTGAAAAGCTGTGCATGGATCCCAAACTGTTTCTTCCCATTCTAGATGGCTTAGCTAAGGCCACCTTACAAGCTCTGTTTCCCTCTCTTCTTAGAATCACAGTTTTAGAGGTTCAGGGGGCCAATCAGATCAACTGGTCCTGTCTGCATTTCATAGCAATTGACATCTACAGAGTTTAAACAAGTTTTTCCAAAGTTGCACAACTTGGTTTTCATTACAGATCCCAAACAAGAGCTCAGGTGGTTGAATTAACATTTCAGTATTTTTCTGTTATATCATCACTCATATGACTCTTCTGGACTCTACCCTCTTTATGTACAACACCAAAACTATAAAGCAAACAAATGCCAGTATAACAAACTCTGCCCACGTACTTCATAGTGTCTTCTATATACCAATATTAAGGTATCTATATTTTATCATAGCTTCAAGGCTAAGAAAATACTTATTTGATCAATATGAACTCAAATTTTGACGAGTATCGCAAATGACAGAAATGAATAAACAATAAAATATAACCACTAGCAGTTTTGTACTGAACAAGCATCAATTATACTCAGTTTTAGATTAGTTGTAATCTCTGTGACATTTTTAACGCATTTGTGATTAGTGTTTTCAACGTTCCAGCCCTCCCCGTAATTTACAAGTCTGGCTTCTTCTATATTTCATTTATATTAATAATGATTTGTGAGAGGACTGGGTATATAGCTCAGTGTCATAAGTGCCTGGCTGGCAAGTGCAAGGTACTGAGTTTGATTCCTGGTACCCCTCCCAAAAGAATGATTCATGATATTGGGAGGATATAGAATTCAAAGCTGATTTTTTGGTAAATTTATTTTCTAATAACATAAATGCAGTGCAACATGTAGAGTGTCATGTTTGCTAGGTGGAGAAACTGAGTCTCAGCAAGATTATGTGGGGTCTCCAGCATTGTTCAGTTGGTAGCAGAAGGATCAGGGTCTTGTAGCCAGATTGTGCAGTGTTAGAACTCACAGGCTTCCTTCCAATCCATGAAAACAAGAGAATAGTAAAATTGAAAACAGTGAATAGGGCAAAACGAGCTATTTACAAATTATATTTCTGCCCCACTGGTGTGATAGATGCCCTGTGAGCATTTTCTGAGTGCCTGACAGCCCTGCCTGTCCTTGCTGAAGTGTGTAAGTCACTGTCAGTGGAAGGGCCTTATGGTGATGGAGGAGGGACTCACAAAGGCAACGGAGAGATATACCCTTTTATTTGTATAAGAAGCAAGGAGAATTGTATCGAAGACAAAAAGCTTTGGGTCCTTCGTGGAGAAGGAATTTCATGTTCACAACCATCACCCAAAGTTCTGGTAAATGGTATCCAGACTGCAGTTTGCTAGGACCTGTGTTTTGACAGACTCGAGCAGCGTTTGAGGAGGCTAACCTGACATCTTGTTTGCTTAGGGACAAAGTGCCTAAGTTTTTTCCTATAAATTACCATTGTGGGATGTCACTCTTTGTATGTTTCCACAAAAGTAAGAGAACAATCAGTAGAGATTCGATGAATTGACCCATATACAATTGAAAGTTGGTTTGTTCAGTTAACATGTACCTGTATTTTTTATACTTAAGAATGTCCAAAATAAGTTTTCATATGTTTTCAATTGGGACAAAAAAGGAACATTGAGGAAAAGGAAGAGAAATGTAGGCATTCTTCAAACTGACTTGTATTTTGATGAAGGCTGAATGCAATAGACCATTCCCAAATAATTCTACTCTTCAAAAGCCTTGTTTCTCAGAAGACTGGGATTGTGGATTTGCTATATTTGCTCTTATTTTGTTTATGAACACTCTTAAAGGTTATGATGTAACAAAGTAAATCTCTGGTGATTGAATTTTTTTTTAAAATTTTAAGTCTTATAAGAATTCTTATGTGCGATGAGAATGGAAGTGTGTGATATGGGGAAAACACTGAAGAAGATGCTGAAAAAACCCTCTAGTTCCTTTCTGCCCACACACCAGACTTAATTATAAGACACAATTTTTCGATTCTTTTTTTTTTTTTTTTTGCTTCTATTGGTTTGAGACAAAAATAAAGATGTTTTTCCCCAAAAATGTATTTTAGAGCCCTGATAGCATCTCACATGGAACCAACATTTGCCAGGAATGTTTTCCCTTGTTTTGATGAGCCAGCTCTTAAGGCAACTTTTAATATTACAATTATTCATCATCCAAGTTACGTGGCCCTTTCCAACATGCCACAGCTAGGTAAGTAATGTTCCCTGTTGCTCTATAAATATAAGCTTTGTAATAGCTTTTATGTCAATGGCTTTTCTAGGCAGCATGTCAGCGGTCACCTGCTTCTTTTTAATAACTGGGGAGAGCAGTTATACGTCACATGTATGTCAGCCCCTACATGGTGGGAAGAATAAATCCTGATTTTCTCTGTATTCAAATCTGAGGATGCAAAACTGCTTGTGTAGACTGGCTGGCTGCCTGCCTGCCTGCTGAGCTTCAACTATCAATCATTAGTGATAACAGGCTGGCAGACTCGATCTGAATCTGATGCATAGGTGTGTTTTATTTTGGGTCACATGGCTTTTTTTTTCTTTTGATTGAATTAGTCTCTAACTTTTAAAGAGCCTGAGAGTTTTACATAGAATCTAGATTTTTATTTCTTTAAAACTTCAAAAGATCTAACCCCAGCTTTGCAACTTTGACATGACATATGAACCAGTGACAGATGAGAAGAGGCTGCCTCCTGCAGACTAGGCCATTATCTCCCAGGTTCCTGTCAGTGTTCCAAGCCCACATCACAGCAATTGTCCAGTCCTTATAACCATTTGCATCTGTAATTTCTGCCTTAATCCTCCAGATTGCTGCTGATGACGTGACTGAAACTAAAACATAGTGGATGACTTTTTGCTGACCTAACACAGAGCCAGGCAGCAATGGATGATATGCTCTGAGAAGCAGGCTGGAATAGGAAACAGAAGGGGGTGGAAGAGAGAAAGGGCAGATTGGTACCAAGTTTATAGTCCTCATGGACTTGAGCTCCAGTCAAGCCCACGGTACTCAGGATGCTACTTCAGGCCTATAGCTGTCCCTCCCGATGTATAATTTATTTTAAAAACATTTACTGTCATATCAGTTATACACACTTATGGGGTACAGTGTAATGATTTGATACATGTATACAAAGGGTTAAAATCTTAAAAATACTTTTGATTGAGAAGTAATTGTATACATTTTTGAAGTATAGTGTAATATTTCAACATGTACACTGATCAAACCAGGTTAATCAGGGTTTATATCTCTGTGTTATTGCTTTGTGTTTGGGTCCTGGGGTGACTGTTTTTCATGGATCACCTACTGCTATTCTGATGGCTTAAGGTAGGTAGAGAAATTCAAATTGCAAGACTTTGGAGAACAGTTGGGAAGGAATGGCTAGATGACAACTGGCCTGACAAAGTCTTTCAGTGTTAGGTATTATTACCTAGTTTTACAGTGATTTGGACTAAGGTGATTTCTCTAGGTCAGTATGACAGAACAGACATAAATGGAAGCAACTGGACCGTCACCACCTTCTACACCACGCCCCCCATGCCAACTTACTTAGTTGCACTGGCCGTATGTGACTATGACCAAGTCAACAGAACAGAAAGAGGCAAGGAGGTGAGTAGGAAAGTCGGTCAGGTAAGGGACACTGAGCTGGCTGTGCATTGTCTATCTGCTCTGCCTCCATTCAGGGATTATGCCTCACACTTCCTGTCCTCACCTCCTGGTTCTGTCTCCCAAGCCTCCTCCCAGAGCCCTCAGTTAAGTGCTGCAGAATGAGACATAACATTTCCTGCTTCCACTCTGTGGAGGGTTTCCTGGAGAGATGGCACACTAAGCCACTCTTCTGGTGGATTTTGAGCACCCTTTGCCCGTTTCAACCTTTGCAGAGGACAGGAGAGAGGAGGGAGGGCTGCTATATGGCACCTGAAGTGAGGGTTTAGTATGTATTGTTTGCTTAGCTTAAAGTGTTCAGATACCCTGAAAGCTCAAAGTGTTTAGCACTGAGTGTGGCCCACACATCGACCAATCAAAACAGGTATCAGCCAGGAGCAACCACTGTGGCTGAAAAGGCACATGCAGGCTATACATCACCCAGTGTAGGAGCTGGGCTGCTGTGTTCCTCAAGCATGGGCATGAAGCATTTCCTGAGAGTTGAGTGAAATATGTATGTGTGGATCTTCTGTCCTGTTATTCTAGTTTTTCTCCAATTATACCCTTATCACACTGTAAGATTTCAAGAAAACGTTAGTCTTTTCTATGCTGGTTCACTCGCTATCAGAGCATGGAGCTATGCAAGCTCTGCACGGTTGGCACCCGAGGCCCTGTTCCTTCTAGTCATATAACAGGACTTCAGAGAGTGGAGAAAAATCAGGCCATATAGCTGGCTGAGCCACTCTCAGGTCTGAGATCTTCCAGGATCATCCCACTGAAATGTGAAGAAAGGAAGCTATAGCAAGCTGTGACCACCACCAGAAGAGACTCGTTCAACCTGCTCCTACATCCTCCTAACCTAATGAATTAATACTGTATTGTTGCACACAGCAGCCTATCTTTATGAGCTATTGACTGCAGTCTGATTCCCATCAGCAAGTGATTATGAGATCCTTAACTTTTAGGTGTAACAATTGGTCAAGTGAAAAATTCCATGATATACATTGATGAATCTGCTCAGGCATAATTTGGAAATGCATTTGATCTTGGAAGAAGGAATGAGCTCCCTATTTCCCATAGCTAGTGAGAGACACATCATGGTCCTTCAGCATCTGTATTTCAAGTGGCTTGCAGTAACTGCTTGTATCTTGCCATCAATTGCTATGCAGGGATAAAGTCTGTTTCTTCTTGAAAAATCACCCCCTAAAGAATGCATAGAAAGCAGAGGAAATGGAGCACGCCTCAGAAGTAATATTCTTAGCCAGAAAACTTAAAGTTCAGGATGAGTTTATCAGTGGAATGTTGAGTTTGGCTATGACTCAACTCTACAAAGTGAGTGAGTTCATCATATGCTCTATAGGGAAACCAGAATGTATGCCTGAAGTAGTGTTCAGCCTATCCAAAAGTTGCTAGTTAAGAGATAAAGATTTAGTGAAAATAAGGATGTGATCCATGTGAAGCACAAGAATAAACATGGGAAACAGATGGTAAGGATGAAAATCACAGACTTTGCTTAAAAGTTTGGTGTACACGGGCATTTGCAAAGATAGTCCTCTCCTAGACATCAAGCTTGCGTGTGTCTAGTGAGGGCTGCCAGAACTCTCTGGTAGGTCAGCTGTGATTTTGAAGGACTTTTGATTTATAGAGTGGTCATTTATGGGAAGAGCTTTGTAAGCATGATATTAATTGCTAATTCTGCTGTTTTCCAAGAGGCTACAGTTACAGTACAGTGAGGAGAGGTGACTACCATTCTGCCCTGTAGAGTGGTTTTGCTTGAGCAGGTTTCTTGTTAGCTGAAAAGTGAGAATGTGGGAAGGAGGAGTGGAGCAGGGAAGAACCTTGGGAGCATCTTTCCCGACAGAAAGAGGCCTTTGCAGCACAAGGGACATATAAAGCAATGAAGGGATTCAAGCACAAGCTTCAGAAACAGGTGGTTGCACTTTGTGCAAGAACATTCCTAAACCTTCACGTAACCCAAAAGTTCACATAATTCAAGACCAATTTTCCAGCAGAAACCAAAGCACAGTTAGGTGGATGTGCTCTTGGAGTATGTACATCTATGACTATTATGCTGCTTTTTATTTTTCTAGTATGTCCTCCACTCTTCTGCATAGAGCTCTTTCATAAATTAATTGCACTCAGGACAAACATTTTAATATTAGCTCTCATTCTGAGATCTTTTAGTTGCATACATAGTTTTATTTTAAAATTTGAGAATAAGGTGGGTACTATGAATGCTTTAATTATTAAACCATTTTAAATATGCATGATTCAAATTTGCTTAATATGCACCATAGTGCATAAACATCACTAACAGCCCACTTCTGTTTTGAATCATTAGAAATATGTTCTGAGAAGAGGAGCAGTTGTCCAAGGTGCCCTTTGATGTAGAACTATTCCAAGAATTCTTTTATAATTACAGAATTATAGTTGGCTGTAATCCCAGCACTTGGGAGGCTGAAGCAGGAGGACTGCAGTGAATTAGAGGCCAGCATGGACTATGTAGTGAGACCCTGTCTCAAAAAAAAAAAAAAAAAAAAAAAAAAGAAACGAACAAAAGACAAAACCAAACACCAGCCAATCTCCAAACAGAACTATACATGTTATTATCAAAGTTTGACATAACATACTTTCTAGGATAGTCACTGCCTCCTGAATTTTCTCATTAAATGTATCACTTAAATATTTTAAATGTTTAGCTTCTGAAAACGTAAGACTGGATTTTGAGTTAAGAGGCATTTGGACCAAGCATGTGATCCCTTACTAAAGTCACTCTCATTTTTCTTAATTACCACCTGATTGTTTTGATTTAGATACGCATCTGGGCCCGGAAAGATGCCATTGCAAATGGCAATGCAGATTTTGCTTTGAACATCACAGGACCCATCTTCTCATTTCTAGAGGATTTGTTTAATATCAGTTACCCTCTTCCAAAAACAGGTGAGGCATTGTTTCTTTCCGTGCAGTTGTTTTCTTATTGTGGGACCCCTGAGTTTCTGTTGCAGGTGAGCCTCTAGAGTACTTCGGTGTTAGCCTCCCCGCCTTCATCATTATATTTTTCAACTTTCAAAACATATAAAGGCCCATCTGCAGTTGTGTCTCTGCATGGTAGCAGAGTATTCAAGAGCTCTTGGGCTTTAGAGCTCTCCTGGGCACCCAGTGGCAGCCTTGCCTCCCTCCCCCACAGACCTTCATCTTCCTCCTGAGTCCTGACATTTTCTCTCATAATGCAAGTACATAGTGCTATGTTCTGGATCCTTTTAGCTAGTGGGCTTGCATGACTTATCTTAGTTTACTCAGTTGTAGTTTTTAAAATATTCTTCAGCTGTGAGTCATTGGGTTAGGACTTGGTGGTCCCATCTGTGATTTTCCAATGTATAAAATTGGAATCATGTGTGAATATAATAGGCTCCTTGAGAAAATGTGTAAATATTTTATCTCATACATCTGTGTGGCATGTATATACTATTTTATGAGCCATTCAGCTCAGAAAGTTGTTCAGTGATTTCTCTTAAGTTGAAAGCATAGTATAAATGGACCTTGTCCTTCTGACGTGTTAGTGGACGTACTGGAAACAGCATGCTCTGCCTGCATTGGCAGATGCTGAGGAGGTAGGGAATAGATATTTGGGGCCTGAGGTTCTTGAATACCAGGAATCCAGCAGCTTGGAAGCTCCAGGATGCTGTCGAAGGAGGAATGCGATCTGGAACTGATCATAGCCCAGTCAGAGATTCTGGAGATGACAGCTGTCATTTTGTGGGTTGGAGGTAGCCAGAAGGTAGGCTTGCAGACCAAAGTCCTAGCATGCTGTGCTGGAGGCTCACAAGGTGATCTTTGTGTAGGCTGGAAAAATTCCAGTTACGTTCATAAGGAGAAGTCCAGAGTCATCCCTGTCCTTTTCAGGTATTCCTTGCACGCAGTGTCCCCTGTGCCTTGTTTTCTCATATCCCCACTCACGCACTCCTGTCCCAGCCCCTAGCTGATCCCAGTTTTCATCACCCATGTCTGCATCACAGGAGTTTTTCTAGAGTCTCGCCTCCCTCCCTTTTGCCTCTCCAATCCATTCTCCCATACAAAGTGGGGGAATGTCTTCAGAGTAAAATTTGGTCATGTTACTGTCCTCTTTAAAACCCCTCTGCCGTTTCTCGATGCCTGAGGATAAAGTCTTAACTCTGTACTATGTCTTTACAATAGTGTACCAATCCCCTCAGGCATTTGGGGCAGAAGCTTTATTATATGTCTCTGTGCTCCCTCCCACGGCCCCATCTTCTCCTGGCCTCCAGGCTTTGCACCTGCAATCTGCTTATCCTGGAATGTCTCCTAGCCACTGCCTATCTCAATCATTATGTGTGTCACCTGAGTGCTCCCCGCTGGAGGTGCCTTTTTGGACTCCAATGGCTTATTTTGTTGGGCTTAGTGTCTGGACTCTTTTTATTTGTGCTGATGGCAATGCTTATCTCAAATGGTAACCAGAAAATATTTAGGGTTGGGAGAAATAAATATATGCAATTAGTTCATCCTGCATACGTGATAAACTCCTTGGTACCAGGATTATATGCAATACTTTAAGAAATACCTCTCATAGAATGTTAACTAGTGTTACCTTATGAATACCCAAAGGTAGCTGCTCAATTAAAACTTCACTTTGGTTGATAGGTGATTAAAGTAGTTTTTGTACTTATGGATTTTAAGATAAAGGTAAAAAATTACATGTTAATTACTTTAACCTGTGATTGAATCACAATAAAACAAATGCTTTCCCCACCAGCATTTCTCACACAGGCTTTTTTTTTTTTTTGTCTTGTAGAGTCAGGTGAAAGCCATTGGTTAATTTCCTTTAGCCTATCTTGTAGCTGGTGTAAGGAATTCTGAGTTTAGAACCTAAGGTAATATAAAGCATCTGCAGGTATCTATTATAAAGAACAGCATTTTTTTTCTGGCATTGTTATTTTTACTCTGTTTAATGTCGAAAGTGAATTGAAATATTTTAGAGACTAGTAGGGTTAAATGTTTGAGTTACAGATTTTGAAACAAAGAAAATGTCATGATGCTTTTAAGAGCAAGGGCGTTTAAGATTTACAGACTTATAAATGGCAACTCCTGTTTTATGCTTTGATTATACTCAACTTCTAATAATGGCATCTGTTATATGAGTGGTATATATTTTACAGAAATAAAACAAAAGTGCAAGGTAAATCATAAAGCAGAGACACAATGATGATAATTATGAGAATTTAGTGGGCAAATACTGGGACAAATAAGTCCTAGGTGCTATATGAATTCAAAAACAGCAAGTGCCTGGGACTTTTTCAAGTTAACTGAGTTAGGGAGACAGCTACGCCTCAAGTAACAAATTATATTATCAAGAGATAAAGTGTTAAGTAAAAGTTTTAAAAGAAAGAGGACAATTGGAGTGTCCTAAATGTATAAGGAACATCTAAAAATAACTAAAAATACAACCCAATAGAAAAAGAAACAAGTGAAAGATGTCAGAATAGAGAATGTACGTAGCTAACACATTTATGAAGAGATACTTCACCTAATTAACAAATTGAGAAATGCATACCCAAAGCCACAGTGAGGCGTTACACTTGCTCAGCTGTCAGAAAGTAATTATTTGAATGCAGTGAATTGGTGCACGTCCTTAAGATCAGCACGACTGAGACCAGCCTGAGCCACATAGCAAGTTCAAGGCCAGTCTGCCTTGCATTTAAGCAACCACACCAAAGGTAAACATTTCAGCAAATGACAAGGGAGATTAGAGCATTGGTTGTCACAGCCACTTGGAAATCTATTTGTTACCTGGCAGTATTGATCATTAGCATACTCTAAACCAGTAATATCGTTCCTAAGTATATTCTCAAGAGAACTTAAACCTCTTTGTACCAGTATATGTAAATAAGAATATTCAAGGCTATACTTTTTATAACAACTCAAGTGAAAAGAGCAAAAATGGTCACTGATAAGAGACCATTATAAATAAATTGGTCTCACTGATAAGAGACCAATTATAAATAAATGGGCATGCATTCACACAATGGAAATGTATATAGCAATGAAGCACTTTTCTAAAGTTTATAAACATGAAACTTATTGTGTGCATGTGTGTGTGTGTATGTTCATGTGTGTCTGTGATTTCTGTGGAGCGAGAAACCCAAAATGTGACAAGAAATGCATAAAGCTGAACATTTTTGATAACTGGTCCTTCAGAGAAAAAGTTTGTCAACCTCTGTTTTAAAGAGTTAATTTATGGATGTTTATATTATTACTTTAAAATAATCATTTAAATAAATAAAACAGGGTCACGTGTGAACCAGTCATAGTTCGCCAAGATGCTGATTTTGCTTAATTTAATTCTATACATCTGCATAAAAAAGTTTAAAAACAGTCATCAGGATTAGTTAGAAATGACTTTTTATGGCTGTGAGATTGCATCATGAGTGTTAGTAGCAACCACAGGCCAAGCAGGGGATTTCCTGGGATTGCAAATAGCATGGGAAGAGTAAGGTTCTGGTTGTGGAGGACCAAAGGGATTGACTTGGGTGGAGCAAACATGTTTGGTGAGCAAATGAGTAGGTTGGAAGGTGGGCGGCATGAAAGGAGGTGAGAAAGTTCGGGAGAATGAGCAGCCTAGGCTACGCAGCTCAGTACCTGTGTGACACTCAGCGATGCAGGCCGTGAGATGTCTGGGTGAACTTACTGGCATACTGTGCATTTCAGCCATGTGCAAATGAAATGCTTGACACAGTGCGTGTCATGATATTCAGTGGCAAAGGTTGCATGGAAATAGGAATGGCATTTCTTCCTTAGAAAAAGAAAACGTAAGTTTATTCTTTTAGCTGTAAATTTAGTAAGTGATCACATTATAGGAAGTTTGGAAAAAAATAGGCACAAACAAAGAGAGAAAAAAAAGTCTCTTGTAATGTTATCACACAGAGCTAATCATCACTGCCACTTTGATGTGTATCTTCCTGTGGTCTGCCAGTCTCAACCTCTACCTTTTCCTTATCAAAAGTGTCACAATAACATGGACACTGGTCTTTAAATTGATTAAAAAAGATAAAAGTACTCAGTGTCAGGACCCAGATAACTAAATATATTTTATTGTCATTTTCAGACATGGAGTACCCACTTATCAATTTCACAATTAATTTATTTAAATGTTTTTAATCTTCTGTGGTTGAACACTTGGGTTGATTTTACTTTCTTGGCGCCTTTAAAAATATTAAAGAAAATCCTTACAAGAAAATGTTTTCCAATGTCTGTGTTATTAGCATTAGCATAAATTCCAAAAGTAGAATGATTTAGGGAAAGAGTATGAGAATTTTTGAGAAGCCTGAAGCATTTTGCCGGGTTGCTCCAGCAGTACTATTGACAGCCTCACCGACGGCCCAGGTGCCAATTGTCCAATACTCAATATTAATCTCAAGCATCTGAAAGACTGCTGTATGATTTTAAGTTTTGTTTCTTGGAGAATATTTTAAGTCATAATTTTACCTGTTTGAATTACTTATTTAGTGAATTGATTGTTTATATTTGAGACGAGAGTACCGCTGTGTTGACAGGCAGTGATTCTCGCGCCTCAGCTTTCTCAGTATGCCTTGTCCTTTAGACGTGTCAGTACTTTTAGGCTTTATTTCAAAAATATTGTTGTGGTACATATTACAAATATTTTTCCTAGTTTGTGGTTTGCCTTTCACATTTGTCCATAGTGAGTTTTCTTTTTCAGTGCGATTTACTTCTGAAACACTTTATGCTTTAGAGAAGCTCTGGGTTTATAGGAAAATTATGCAGAGATTACAGAGAATCTCCATATATTCTCTATTCACTATGGCTTCTCACCACCACATATCCTATTGTTAGCAGCTTCCTCTAGTGTGGTACATTTGTCACAAGTGATGAGCCATTGCTAGCATGTGATTACTAGCTAAGTCCTTAGTTCAGGTCAGGGTCCACCGTTTGAATTGTGCACACTGTGGGTTTTGACAGGTGTATCATGATGCGTCTCCACAATGCTGGCATCATCCTGAACTGTCTCAGTGCCCTAAGTCTCCTGTGCTCACATGCTGATCTTTCCCCTTCCCCTAAATCTCAGACAACTACCAACTTTCTTACTTGCTTTAGACATCTACCTTTTCCACAGTGTCATGTGTTGGACTCCTCAGTGTGTGGCTTTTTCAGACTGGCTTGTAGGTAGATAGCAATATGCACTTTGGGTTCCTTCGCATCTCCATATAGTTTGGGAGTTAATTCTTTTTGTTGAATAATATTCCATAGTAAGAATGCACTACAGTTTATCCATTCACACTAAAGGGCATCTGGTTCAATTCTAATATTTAGCAATTACGAGTAAATCTACTATAAACATTTGTGTGCAGGATTTTGTGTAAACGTAAGTTTCAGCTCATTTGGGTACATAGCTAGAAGTACAGTTGTGAGGTCTTATGGTAGGCCTACATTTAGTTTTGTAAGAAACTATTGAACTGTCTGTCAAAGTGACTTTAATGTTTTGCATTCTCACAGTAGTGAATAAGCATTTTTGTTGTTCTACATCCTAGGTATTGCTAATGTTTTGGATTTTAGCCATTTCATTTCCTAATTCTGCTCAAAATTCACATTCTGTATAGTGGTATCTCATTGTTTTAAAATTTATAATTGCCCAACATGTTAAACAACTTTTCATGTTAATATGCCATGTGTATATTTTCTTTAGTAAAGTATCTGTTCCTAGTTTTGGCCATTGTGTTTTCATATTGAGTTTTAAGAGTTCTTTGTATGTTTTTATAAGCCTTATATCAAAAGTTTTTCATTTTTATATAGTAAAACTATTTATTTTCAGTCTTCTATACTTGGTGTTAAGTTTTGAAAAGCTTCTTTGCCTTCAGCTTATTAATATTCTATTGTATTTTCCATGGCTTTATGATTCAACTGAGATAATTTATAGCTGTAATCGATGTTTTTGTAAGTGATGCTTTTACTTTTCCTTCATTTAAATCCACTTAGACATAATCGCCTTGCCTGTTTTTGACAACCGTGCAATGGAAAACTGGGGCCTCCTGATGTTTGATGAGTCCTTACTGTTGCTGCAGCCAAGCGATCACCTGACGGATAAAAAGACCCTCATCTCCTACATCGTCTCCCATGAGATCGGGCATCAGGCATGTAGCAAAACATTCTTTCTTCTTTCACATTCGCCAACTTCTCGGTGCAAAATAGAAATAAAACAGAAACCCCTGCCAAACCAAATTTAAGAAGAGAAAAAAATTTCCTTGGAAGGTATGGCAGAGAGGAAAAGCAAGGAAGGACCTGCGTAACGAGATTCTGGCCAGATCTGAGTCAGTGGTGATGCTCAGAGTGATGAGACCACAGTCTGGTCCAAGACTGAAGATTTACATCCAAAGATTAATTTTGTGTCACAGCATTTTCTTTAAGAAATATCAGCCACGTGTTTTCTTTCATTCACCTTAAAACAAGGAGTATTTGAGAGATCACTGAAAGATACACTTCATTAATAGATTGTCATAAACTTTTATTTTTATGGAGAAGAAAGACTAAGAGGATGCAGGCAACAGAGTAGTAAGGAGACCAGTAATTAATCTTCAAGCTGCATCAACATGGTACTATAAATAAAAATTCATTTCATTGAATCTTGGTACTTTCACCTTGTGATTTTAGAAAGTCAGCTGTTCGATTTGATGAAGATTTTTACATCTACATTTTAGTTTCAGTTCCATTAACATTTGTTGAGACAGAAATCATCCCCACCCTGAAAATGTTATCATCTTAAATTTTGGTAAAGAGCAACTTCCTAGGATTGAGTAACGCCCAGAACACAGTCAACACGCAGTTTCACAAGTGTTCATCAGTCACCCCAAGAATTGTTTATTTTTATTCTAGCCTAAGAGACATACTGTTTTGGAATACAGGCTGCTAAAAGCTATTGTAAGAATTTGATTAAATACCAGGGCTTGGATTTGTTGATTTTGGAAATTATTGTATTTTTCTTTCCTCGTTCTGTTCAAATTCTGCATTTTTTTCTATTCAGCTGAAATAGAAAGTAATTAGATGTGTGTTGGAGAACATATGATTGTTCGTGGCTTGTGTATGACACGGATTAAATCATGTTCTTATAATAAATGCTCACAAAATTCTGTTGAGAGTATAAGGTGACAGAATGAATATGTGGTAAGGAGCATTCAAGACTTCTGATTTATTTAAGCATAACTTTTGGGCAAAGAAAACAGTTTAAAAGATACTACTGTACTTGTTTGTGTTTGAATATCACAATATCAATCAAGCCAAAGATTGCATTAAATTATTGGACATGAAATAATTTAGAGAAATGCACAGCCATCTCGCATTGAAACAATAAACTGCTCTCTGGAGTCCTGTTTTCAAGAGTTATGAGTGATGGCAGATAAATCTGAATCATATCTTTGGATCTTGTATTTATTTTGTGTGCAAGTATGATAAATACGTAAGTTCAAAAAATTCTTTTTTCCCCTCCCTTTTCCAAAAGTGGTTTGGAAACTTGGTTACCATGAATTGGTGGAACAATATCTGGCTCAACGAGGGTTTTGCATCTTATTTTGAGTTTGGAGTGATTAACTACTTCAATCCTAAACTCCCAAGAGTAAGTATGTCTGTTAAATTTATCTTTTTAATTTCCCAGTTATAAAAGTAATGTATGAAAATATATAAATGTCAAAGAATATTAATTATTGGTATTAACTAGGGGTTAACCATGATATCATTTTATGTTTTTAATCCAGGGTAATACCTATTATTAATATTTTTGAAAATGTGAATTACATAGAAATTCGTAAACTTTTCCTACTTCATATTGTATCATGAGTGTTTCTGCTCATTAAATTCTTTTTTTTTATTTAAAGAAAGACTAAACAAAACAGAAAATGGCAGAAATAGTACATACTTTCTTTTTTTAAAATTTTAGTTAAGGATAAAAAGAGAAAACAGAAGAAGGGTACAAGTAATACAGAATTTTAAAAAAACAGTAGGAAATCACTAGTTAATAGATTATATATTGTCATCTTAGAAATAGTTGTTTAAGTTATGAAATTAAAGCATATAAAGTGGACATTCAAACAGTGAGACTGCAAGCAGTTCTATTCAATGATCCAACAAAAACTCAGTAATATGGTTATCTATCTTACATACTTTCAAAGAAAAGAAATAAACAGTAATAAATCACTAGTTGATGTATACATATTGTCTCCCCACAAATAGTTGTTGAAGATACACAAGTGGAACATATAAATGTGAATTTAACCAGGGAGACTGCAAACAGTTCCGTTCAACTATCCAACAAAAAATAAGTATTTTGGCTATCAATCCTATACTTAGACATGTACGCATTTATCCATATCTTCATTTACGTAGAGACCTAACAAAACTTAGTAGATTAAAATCATTCTGAACAAAGATTAATAATATTGCTGGATTTCACATCATAACACTCTGGAATCACCCCTGGGTACTACAGTGCCCCTTTCTTTCCTTCAAAGTATTCATTTCATCATGTGTCATAAGATCAGTTTTTCAGAAACTGTTTATAGGTTTTACACAAGCATGAGTCTTAACATGTATTTCTATCCTTTCTATATTAGAGGGAGAAACAGAACAAAGCAGGACAGAACTGAACATATTCCTATAGACACATAAAACTAAAGAGACATAAAACTGATGTATAAGGAATTCTACCGTGGTCATTGTGCTGTTTCTTGTTATCATCAACAGAATTGGCTATATCATCAGATAAAGTGTAATTGAATATATCGGTACATAACAGAATTAATAGAAATACAACTTTGTAGATAGTGTAGAGCTACAAAAACAGGTAGTAATCAAATCAGAATGGATATCATAGTGAATCATTGTCATTTTCAGTACAGGTGTCTATACTCCTCAACTTGATACCAGGAACCTAACAGTTTTGAATAAAATCTTTAATAATAAGCAGCAATTGAACAAGTCAGATTTAACTAAGATCAGTCATGATACAACAGTATAAGTCATATGGGATCCTGACTGAGTTAATAGGAAATTAAAGATGACTACTGTACTATGTCCTGGTATCTTCAGGACAGCTGTCTGTGCCCTCAGATCTAGTGCTTGTATACAAACTAGGACAGAAAAAGTTGCATCCAAGCAGAGTGGTGCGAGTAATAAGGGTTTTAATTCCTGATACACTATTAGCTATATCTTCTGCTGTCTTTTTAAAGACTATTCCTCCCTTTTCACTCCCCCAGGATGAACTGTGTATTTTTGGGTCTCCCCAACACACACGGTTTTGTACTGGGGAGGCAACCTGCTATTTACCTAGGTGTTTCTGAACTTTCTCACTCCTGGGCTAGATTTCTAGTTATATTTTTTCACTTGTTCAACCTATCCATAAATACTGGTCCAGTTACCCCTATTACTCTCTGGCTCCCCTGTTTTCTCATATTTGATTTTGGTCCATATACCCTTCTTCAGGTTAATTATATTTCCTATAAAGAGCATCTTGGTGGACCCTACTTCTTGATCCACTCTAACTGTGATTCTCTCTTTTTTCCCTTAAGTTAGTGTATCTAGGCCATCTATATTAGAAATTATATCCAACTTTCTCTGCCTCTTTTCTGTTGTGCTCTTTTTCTGTCATTAGTTGTCTGTCTTCTTTATTTCACTTTTTGTTCCATTCGTTGGGGCCTCTCTGCCACTGTTCCTGAAATCCTTGTGCTTTTCTCTCTCTTTAGAATATCCTGTAGTATTCTCTGTATAGTTGGATTGGTGGTTGTGAATTCCTCCAGTTCTTCTTTATCTTGGAAGCACCTTGTTTCTCCATTAATTTCTAGGGACAATTGTGCAAGATATATCAATCTTGGCTGGAGGTTATTGTCTTTAAAGGCTTGGATTATTTCGCCCCATGCTCTTCTAGATTTGATGGTGTGTGCCAAAAAGTCTGCTGTAATTCTGATGGGTGTTCCCTTGTAAGTGATCTGTTTCTTGTCTCTGACAGCTTTTAATATTCTGTTCTTATATTGGATTTCTGGGATCTTGATTATTATATGCCTGGGTGTAGTTTTGTTTTGACTGTAGGTGGCTGGAGTTCTGTATGCCTCATACATCTTGGCATCTTTTCCTTTTCCTATGTTTGGGAAGTTTTCCTTAATTATTTCTGTGAATAGCTTTTCAGTTCCTTTGTTTGTACCCCTGATTCTTCATTCACATTCTTCATTCTTAAGTTATAGATCCTCTTGTCATCTTCTAGCCTAGCCTATTGTTACTGCTTGTTTCCTTGTTATTTTTAAGAAGTTTTTCCTTTCATGTTCCCGCATTACAAACCTTTCCTCCAGTTCAGATAATCTATCCTCAGTTTCTTTCAAGCTGTTATGCCAGCTTTCAATAGAGTTTTTAATTTCCTGGTAATCTCTTTGAACCTGATTCATGTATTCTATGTTTTCTCTATTTTTTCCATCAAACAATTCTCCTTTTTTTTGTTCTTCCATTCTACCATCTGTTTTTTCTTGGGAGGTGCTTAGCATTTCTTTAATTATTCTATTTATATGTTGCTTTACTTGGTTAAATACTTCACTTTTGAACTCGTCTATGAGGTCTGGAAGATATTACTTTATGTCTATTGGTGTCATGCCTGATATTGCATGTTTTCTGTTCTCATTTTCCTTTGCATTTACCTTTCCTGGATCAGTGTTCTCAGGATTGAGGACTGAGGACCCTTTCTTGTTGCTTCCTATTCTCATATTTTTTGTTCCTTCCATACAGGCATATATAGGAGGCTCAGTTTCTTTCTTTGTTGGTTTCAGTTTGTCTGAAGTGCAGAGTAGGTGGTCCCGCCCACTTCAGTGCACTAGGAGGTACAGACCCGGGCAGCCTCTGCTGGGCTCGCCCCTCCAGGTCAACCTACTGAAGGCTTCACTGCAATAGGGTGCACTGCCAGGCATAGGGACTTGATTTGGGCTAGACTTTTGGGCCTCAGTCCGTGGCGTCACCCAGGCCAAGTGCTCCCCACCAATCCTGCTTGAGAAGGGAATCGCTGACTGAAGTCACTGCAGCACCTTGTTCTGGCCAGTCTGCCTGATCCCAGAATGTTGTCTGTTGGAGCCTCTTTGTCTATGGAAGGGTTTTTATTCCTCTCACTCACCACAGATTGATGCAGGGTTCCCTGCCAGCTCTGCTCTCAATTCGGTTCACCGATTCCTGCTCTCAAAGTGTTTGCGTCTCCAGTGAGTTGAAACTTGTGGGCTATCTTGGCTGTGACAATTCAGGCGTGGCAGCAGCAGGGTATTCAAGCTGCAAGTTCAAGCAGTGGCACCAAGACTTTAGCTGTTCCAATTGTAGCACTGGGACTGTATTTTCAATTGGTTTCTCTCAGCTTAGTTTGTTCCTGGGTCGGGAGGGTGTATCTCCCTCTGTGTGGGACTCCCCACGTTGTATTATGTTTGGAATCTAAGTTGGCTATCTCAGAGAGCCTCTGTAGCTGCTGTTATCCTCATTTAATTCTTTTGAAACACAAGACTTTTTTAATGCCTGCCCAGTATTTAGTCACATTATCTCATAAAGTGTCCATATATAATCTTTTCAATTATTTCAATCTCAATTATCTGCATTTATCCTTATATAAATTCTAAAGCAATTGTAATCTTTAGTCTATAGCTTTAATGGCAAGTAACGTGTTATTTTTAGTGATTAAATATTTTTGCTGACACTGTTTTGATGATTGGAGTGAAAACTAGTATGTGTTGAAAAATAAATTTAAATTCAAATATCACAATGAAATATCAAAATTCAGTAGTTTTAACTATAACATACTTCTGATATTTAATTTATTCAAGAAATTAGTCCTTTCAGAATGACATAAGGTGAACTGATTTGATCTGACTTAGGCATGTAAATATTTAGATTTAATGTTATCTTTTGATGTGGATCTCATTTCTTTCTTAGCTTGCGTATCCCCTGCACCCCACTTCCTTCTGCTCCCATCACCCTCTGCTCCTCGGGATTGCTCCTGCCTGCTGCCACCATCTCACTTCTTATATTTTAAGGCTACTTACTTGACTTCCCCTCTCTCCTCCCTACCCCGAGTAATTTGGGGCTTATTAATATTTGAAATGCTGATCTCTACTGCCCTTTTTTGTAAACTAAATCTGTTGAAGCACAGTCTAGGACGATGTTCTTTGTTTTTATCATTGTTCCTCGGGATCCATGTGGGCCTGGGTCAGGATATTTCTCAGACAGGAAAACCTGCGGAAGCTCAAGCCCCTTGTACAAAAACTGTATATCACTTGCATACAGCCTCTGCTTATTTTCCTGTATACTTTTAATCATCTCTGCATTACCTGTAGTACCTAGTACGATAGCAACACTGTGTAGGTCATTGTTATACCATATTTCCTAGGGTACAGTGACAAGAAAAAGGTCCTCCCATGCTTATTACAGATGCACCTTTCCTCTGTGCTCTTGATGCACAGCTAGTTAAATCCCAGACGTGGGCCTCAACAGTTATCAAAGGCTGATATTATTTTCTTAGTAAAATTTATTTCTTTTGTGAAAAGTAGTAATAGGTAGATTTTTTGGTTGATTTTGGGGCAAATCCAAAGTTGAGAAGTCTATTTTGGTTCCATCAAAGCCTTTTGAAAACTTTCTTTTCTGTGAGAAGTCACAATGTCAGAAGCACTGACATCAAGTCCCATGCCACTTGTCTGGCTCTTTGTGGATGTCCTAGAAGATGCTTGTGGCCAGCTTGATCACTCTGCAGTGTCTCCTCTTCTGCCCCAGACTGTGTCCGGGACCTGTTGTCCTGGTCTTCATTGTATAGATCAGGAGACCAAAGGTTCTGTGACTTACTCAAAGTCTTTTTCATACCTGGGTTATAATCCAGTTTTCTAGACCTATTCTCATGATGAGCATAAAGATCATGGCAATAATAATAATAATAATAATAATAATAATAATAATATCCTGTATTCCATTTATTGAGTGCCGAAGGTAAATGCCAGCCAGGGTAAATGTCATATCATCTTAATCATCGGAATAACCACACGAGTGTAGTCATTACTTCTACCTTATAGATGAGGAAATTGAGGAACCAAAGCATTAAGTAAGTTGCCAAAATATCACAGTAATTCAATGTCAAAGATGAGATTCAGTACTAGGACTCTGACTGATCAGGCTTTTGATCATTATGCTGAAAAAACACACAAGAATACTCTTACTCTCAAGGCACTAATGGGATCTGTGTTTATTTTGTGATTATATGCTACATATTTATATTATTGTATTTATATAATCATATACTATACATAATGTTATATATTTAATGATATATATATATATATAGAGAGAGAGAGAGAGAGAGAGAGAGACAGAGACAGAGACAGTGACAAAGAGACAGAGAGACCAACAAAACTGTATACACACATCAGAAAAAGAAAAACATAAATATTTTAGTACTAAATTTATTGAAACATTGTGAGATTAAGACAAGTTACCTTTGGCCTCTTCAATGATAAGAGACACTTAAAGTGGTGGCTGTCAGCTTCCAGGCATTTATTATTAAGCAGCAGTAGGCAAACTGCTGCTGGGATGATGACCTTGGTGACTGATGTTGCTGTGCGTGCATTTTCAATTTCTTGTCTAACGGCCAGCAGTGTAATGGTCGTCTGCGATATAAGACATCCCCAAGGGTCCCCCACATGAGGTAACCCCATCTGTTGAAAAAAATACTATTTTTCTTTTCCTGAAGTATGCAAATGTATATTACATTTTTGGCTGCCTCTCTCTCTCTTTCCCTTTATGTATATATTTCACATACATATAGTAACTCTTAGTTGTCTCCAAAAGTTCTTTCTATGGGCCCGATACCTACAAACTTATATGTATGTGTCTTTTATGAAATAGAACTACATATGGTTAATGCCATCTATAAATGTTTTTGAAAATATTTGGTCAGATCCCAAATTAACTCTGTGTTTAAAGTCAATAATGAAAGAAGTTTCATTACTATAAAAAATGAAATTCACATTATTTTCTTAATTGAATAAACTATGTTTTTCATATGAATTTCATTTACCTCTTGCCACAACTAAAAAGGCTAGTTTGTTATCGGAATCTAGAAAAACTTGATGAAAACATATTACTGATATTTTTGAAGCTAAAATTAAAACATTGGATTTTTTTTGTACCATTAGTTATTTCTTTTTGTCATTGGTTTCATAGTCATTTTTTCCTAGTCAGCATTTCTCAGTCATGTGGGAAGTTGAGTATCAGAAGAACATCAGATCCTGGAGCTTCAGGAAATTACCATGAGCTGTGTAGTTAAAAGCTTCAGGCCTTATTTTAATGGTCTCTGTAGACCAAGAACTTTGATTTCCTATGATTGAAATTTAGTATGGAAATCAGGGAACCAGATGTAGAAGCAAATTTTTATTTTCCTGTTCTTTGGTCTAATTTCAGTTGACAGTCATTAAATCATGTGGTCAAGGGTGCAGAAGATTAAGGACAGAGAGTTTCTTGGCTCTGGGAACTCCTGTTCTAACACTGAGACTCAGTGAGTTTTCTCTGTCTCTTGTTTTACCAGATCCAAGGAAATAGCAGACTTGGTGAGTCAGATCTCATGCTGTCATCACCATTGGAGGCACACAGGGGGACACCTCTGAGCTTAATTGATTTCATATAGATTTATTGATTATCAACTGTGTGCTATTGTAACATGTACCATTAACTAATTCATTTGATCTTCAAAAACTTTGAAGAAATGATGATGAGGAGGAGGAAGAAAAAGAGGAGCATGTTCTATTTACTAGGAATTTTACTAAGAACTTACATAAATTAACTTCGTACTCAAAGTACTACGTTAATGAAGACATTATTGTTTCCAGCATTTTCAGATGGTAATACTAAATTTCCAAGTAAAGTTGACTGACTTTTGTGAGTCACATAACTCCTAAGATTTAAACCCAGGCAGCTTGATTTCAAATCCTGTGGTTTGAGCTACTTGATATTCTACATAAACCTATTATGACAAATAGTGTTGTATTTCTAAAGATAGCAGTAGATTTTAATAGAAATGGTCTTCTCTGGGATATCATGGCTTGAGAAAGAAGTACTCAATTTTGTGCAACGGCTCAATATGTCTTTTCCCACTAAAAAGCTGATTCAGTTTTTTAAAATGTCATTTCCTTCAGCAGTACAGGAACAGGGGACGTTACTTTATATGATGCCAAGTGTAGAAAGACTTCCAGATTTTTGAGGAAAAGATACGGCCACATTTGTAAGTTATCTTGTGTAGTTGCAATGATACCCTCAAAATTATGTAATACCTTGCACCAGACAGGCAAAAGAGAGAAAACTATCTATTCTAAAATGAGAAAACCTTATAAAATAGGAAGAAAGTCATATGTAATACAAAAGTGTTCATTAAAACTATTATAACAATGAAAAGCTGGAAACAACATGGACGGGAAGTGATGACAGTCCACTGACCTGAAAGCTGCATATTTATTTTAATGCTTTACTTTTAACAAAATTTTTCTGTGCTATATTTTGAAAATAAGCAAATCTTCTGTGACTTGATCACACTGAAGTGATCACTGTTAAGTTTTGGCTTATTTCTTCAAATTTATATTTCTGCTCCATTTATAAAGCAGTAGCTGTTACAAGGGGCAATATGAAGATGAGAGAGCAAACTTTAAAATGCTCTAAGTAAAGTGGCAGAATAAAAGGGGCTTGTACACCATGGGAACAAACCAATGCATGGGGGGCGGGCTGGAAGCAGCCACACGAATAATTGTGGTATTTGATTATGGGTGGTTTTTTCTCTATGTTCTATGTTGTGTTTTATGACATGGCTCAACACTGAGATATTCTCAAGAACGCTCACATATAAAATTAATAAAGCCTGTGCTTATTGAATAGAATCAGATCTATGCTGACATTTTCTCCAAATTCTTGCTTCTCACAGTATGAGTCTTGGACTAGCAACATCAGTAGCATTTGGATAGTTTCTTAACATTATGGCCTCCAATCTGGACCAACTACATAAGGGCGCAAGTTTGACAACATCCCCACAAGACCGTTGTTCACACTAAAGTTTGAAAGCATAGTCCTGTGTTCACTACTCGGAAGCCTGAGGCAGGAGGATCCTGGCCTTGAGCACAGGCTGGGAAACACAGTGAGCCTCTGTCTCAGACAAGCAAAGTGCAAAACGTGTCACATGACTTTCTCATGTTTGGAAGAGCAGAGTTTGATAATAACCTGATCGACGTATTGCTAATGTAAAGTTAAGGTGATAATAGGAAAGGTTGATTGAAACACTGGTAATTTTAAGTAGAAAGTTTTTCTGATACTGTCAAAGGCTGAAAGAGTAATTTTAGGGGTGCCAAAGACAGGCAGAAGGTACCCAAGACTATATGGATTATCTGGGGTGCACCTAGTTCTATAGACTGTAAAGGAACGGTATGGTTTCTTCACAGATCTTTGCTCTATTTCTGTTATACCACATTCCTGTTTGACGATAAATTGGTTTTTTTTTCTAGCTTTACATGAAATAAATTGCCCTTGTTGGGGCCAGGGATATAGCTCAGTGGCACAGCACCACCTGGCAAGTGTGAGGTCGTAAGTTCAGTTCCTGGTACTGAAAAATAAAAGAAAAAAAGTTGCCCTTGTCCAGTGTTTGAGAGTGAGCCAGCCTCTTGGAGAGGTCTGTGGTTTTCATTAAAATATAATAAATTGTCTTCTCATAATACATGAGCTACACACTTAGCACCAATCTGGATTTCTTCCTAATTGTAAGCTATTATGTGAGAATCCTTGTAAATTTGCAAAGCAAAGACACATTTCACTTTGTAAAATGTCCAAATAAAAGAGACTGATTATTTTGAGTCACTAATTCATTTCCCAGTAAAATTCTAGAGAACTAAGAGTCTCTGCTTCCCAGAGGTTTTCTCAGGTAGCTTTAGGCCCTGTGCAGGGGAAACTTGTCTGATTAGAAAGCAGAGTAATCAATTTTTAAAAAAATTGAAATAAAACAGAGATGCAAAACAGGAAGAAACATATCCTACAATTCTGTTATTCAGGAAAATCTCATTTTAGAGGCATATTACAATTCATGGACACGTATCAATTATTGTGTTTTTTCTCTCTTCAGTATCATAAAATTATGACACTGAATATCCATGCTTTCAATATTTTGAGATTTAATATGCCTCCGTATCTTGAAAGCATTTGAGGAGCAATGAATTTCATGTTTCTATGACACTTCAGAAGTTAATGTGGCTCTTTTCCTTCATAGAATGAGATCTTTTTTTCTAACTTTTTACATGGAGCTCTAAGTGAAGATCATGCCCTGGTGTCTAGAGCCGTATCCATGAAGGTGGAAAATTTCACAGAAACAAGTGAAATAAATGAACTCTTTGACTCATTTACTTATAACAAGGTAAAACAGTTATGTATTTCCTTTTTTCTCTACTCTGGAGACTGCATAAAATGGATACTAAGGATTGTGCACTAATATGCAATTTAAAACTTTTATTACAAATGCATTTATTTTATTGAGTAAATGAGTTTCAAAAATGTCAGTAAATCAGTTCTGAGTTACAAGTATTAATCAATCCCATATTCGATACTAGACATCATGAAGAGATTTAAGTATTTTTTTTTATTTTAATGACAAATCCTTCTGTTTGATAGAAATTTACTCTTGCAAATATTTCAGTGAAAAGCTTTTTGTGTATACCTTGACCTCTTTATGTGTTGGACATTTGCTCACTTCTTATCTATTAATTAATGACAATTCAGAATTTCATTAGTATGGGAATAATTCAAATATTTAATTAAAGTACAAATTCTGATGAAGAGCACAGCTCAAAATAGTGCTTATAAAATATATATGTAATATATATAATATATGTTTTTCAAATAATGAGTGGTTTGTTGTGTTCTAGGGTGCATCTATGGCCCGGATGCTTTTCAGTTTCCTCAATGAGCATTTATTTATCAGTGCACTTAAGGTGAGTTTTCAAAATTGTTATTACCTGAGAGACAGCAAACACAAATTGCTTTAGATGCTTTGTTTAAAAATGTTCATTTCTTTATTTTTACAGTCTTATTTGGAGGCATTTTCTTATTCAAATGCTGAGCAAGATGATCTGTGGAGGCATTTTCAAATGGTAATTCTCCTACCTAGATTTACACATGTTCTTTTGAAGTTATTTCATCTGGTGCAGTGCAAGATCAGGTCATTTTATTTGTGAAACTGTCATAGGGCAAAGACTGCATCTTTTTGCTGTTGCTTTTGTTGTTGTTGTTATTAAATTCCTATATCTAGAACAGAGTGTCACAAATCAGATACATAAATGTGTGCTCAGTGAATGAATGAATGAACAAAATAAGGAAATATTCATATATGGTCAGTACCCCATATCTGTGGTTTCACACTCATGGATTCAATCAACCCTGGATGGAAAATATTAGGAGAAAAACTGCATCTGCACTGAACATGTACAGACCTTTTTCCTTGTTGCTATTCCCTAAATAACATAGTACAACAGCCATTGTATTTATATAGCATTCACAGCATTATAAATAATTTGCAAATGATATACAATATGTAGCAAAGTGTACACAGTGAGCATGTGAATGCCATTCCGTTTTGTATAGCACACATGAGCATATGTGGATTTTGATATCTGTGAGGGTCTTGTAATTAATTCCTCTCAGCTACCAAAGGAAAACTTATAATTTTCTATTATCTCTTTCCAAAATAAACAGAATTCTGAATTGGGCCCAGAACATCAACCATTTGGAATTACTACAGTATATATAAATCAGGAATGAATATTTTTTTAGGAGTTTGCTACTTCAAAGCATGCTGATAACTGCATATGTTTTTTGTGATGATTTTTTTAAATCAGGCTATAGATGACCAGAGTAAAATTCTTTTGCCAGCAACAGTGAAAAGTATAATGGACAGTTGGACACACCAGGGTGGTTTTCCAGTCATCACTCTGAATGTGTCCAGTGGTGTCTTGAAACAGGAGCCATTCTATCTGGGAAAAGTTGAAAATCAGACTCTTCTCACCCACAAGTAGGTAGCTTTGCTTCTCTGTCTTTGCCTTCCGTGGGTTTGAGCTCTGCTGCATGGGAAAAGTGAGGAAGCATAGCGCTTACTGGAACACAGTGTCCTGTGAGTGACTCCATACAGGAATGTCACTGGGTGCTGGAGCGAGGCAGAGCCTGAGTCCTGAGCTAGACCAGACACTGCAGGCAGAACTCCGGGTTGCCCCTCCCTCAGTCAGGGGTCAGAGCCACCCCAGTGACTAAAGCTTTGCGATGACCTGAATTCCTCCTTGTCCTTCAGAGATAGGTAACAAATTACTCAGGACTCTGGCTGAGATAAGATAGTGCCACCAGTGGCCACATGTTAGTTAAGACAAGAGGGTCATATTGCAAAATAGTCATGTCCGAGAAACAGAAGTGAATGTAACTACCCTGAGGAATTGCTCTACACAGGTGTGTGCTGTGTTTTTGTCTGTCTGTGAGTGTGTTTAAAATCATACCTGCAACATCAGAATACCTTTAGACAGGCAGACCTGTGCTCAAATACTGACTTCACCAAAATTCAAACTTCAGATAAATCTTACTTTAACTTTCTTAGCTTTGGTTGCTTTACATATAAACTAAATGTATTAGCATAAGATGAAATGTAAAAATAATATGAGTGTTAATCTAGCCTTCAACACTTTCTCCTTCCCTTCTCTTTCTTAATGAGTTAGATAATTTAAATTTTTTTTTGTCTTTTTCATTTTTATCAGTACCAGGGATTGAACTCACGACCGCCTGCTTGCAAGGCAGGTGCTTATGCTGCTGAGCTAAATCCCCAGCCCCTTAAATTGTTTTTGATGGTTGTGATTCTCACATCTCATTATAGTAGGTCCAAGCACAAATGAGTAATTAATTTTAAAATATCAGCAAAGCTTTCAGGTGGTTCTACTCTTTCTTCAGAACACTTGGGGAAAGGAACAGGAGACCTAAGGTCCTCCATGCTGTAGTGTTCTGTGGTTTTTGAGAAGATGGGGAGCCTTGAGCTATGAGAGAAATACAGACCCACAGTTGAATGCCTGAGGAGACTGGCGTGTGAAAATTTAAGGAAGACTGGCACATTGCCCAAGTGACCAGTTGTGCATCTCTTCAGATGCCTGATAAGTCCCTTCAGTCGCCTGCTGCATGCAGCCCATGTCCTCTAATGTGTGGGAATTATAGGGATTCAGTAAATATCAATGTCCTGGCAGGTTCTTGGTGACTGCGTTTCAGGTTTGGAAAAAGCTTGGAACAGAACTATGTGAAATGTTTGTCAAGGCTCTTCTTCTATTACCCCTCGCTTCTCTAGGCGTGGACAGATTTGGGCTTGCCTGTACTGCGTATTTGAATACTCTTGAGTTGGGACAGGTGGCTATAATTTTGGGTAAATAGTTTCGATACAAGGCGGTCTTCAGAGTTATGTACGTAGTAAAAGGTAAGTCCATAGGGCACAGCAAAGGAGAGGGGTGAGCAAAGAGCCAAAGCAAAAGAGCCACCAACAGCCCTAAGGACAAAGTCCTACGTATCTAGAGGGAATGAGCAAAGAAATTGAGTTGTGTCTGCTATTTTATCATCTCTTTAATATTAAACTAGAGTGCATATTGTTTTTTGAAAGTAAAATACAAATCCCCTTTGGATTTTGCTACCTTTACTAGTACACATTTGATTACCTAATGCTTATATTCCCTATGTGGAGTTGGTCTATGTACTAACACCTTAATTCTTTCTTTACCACCTTTCCTTCCTCTGCTTTGCATTTATTAATCTTGTTCCCATTTGAGACAGAGCTGTCGCTGTACTTCCTGTTACCTGTCTTTTAGCCGCTCTTTATTTATAACTGGTTTTCTCAAATATGAGAAATGATGCAATATTTTAACTTGTGTCTGATTTATTTCACTTAACGTTCTCATCTCAAGGTTGGCCCATTTTCCTACAACTGCAAGCTTATCTTGGTGGCACAGTAGCACTCTATTGGGTGTAAATTCTTATGCCTGAAAATTAACTAATTTTTTTCTCCCAAAAAGTGGCACATGGATCATCCCTATTCTTTGGATGAAAAATGGAACTACACAATCTTTAGTCTGGCTGAATAAAAGCAGTAGTAAGTAACAAATTTTAAAAAGCATTTTTACTTATACCCACATAGAGATAAAGAATATAATCCTAAACTGTCTAATTTATGAAAAGCTGTCTCATTTAAAATTAAATATATTTTTCATCACTAACCATAGTTTTAAAGAAAAATTTTAAACCAAAAGTCATTACACATGAAGAACATAATTGTGTGGTAAAAAAAAGTATAGAATTTTTTATTAGGTTCATTGTTCAGAATTCAGCGTAAATTGTATTTTAAAAGTAAAAGGTATTTTTAAAAAGCCATACCATCTCAAATTTTTCCTATTTTTTGTAGAAGTATTCCCTGAAATGCAAGTCTCAGATTCTGATAATGACTGGGTGATTTTAAATTTGAATATGACTGGATACTATAGAGTTAATTATGATAAATTAGGTTGGAAGAAATTAAATCAACAGCTTGAAAAGAATCCTAAGGTAATTTTATTTTTGATGTTTTTGATTATTCTGAGTATACTCTGTCATCTTTTTAAAAGTGTTTATTAATACATGTTCTCTCTTCTTTTAGAGAGTAAACTTTCTTGTTGGAAAAGATTCCTTCCCGGATCCCATTCCTCACTTCCAGCCATACTAAAGAGATTTTCCTCCTTATTTTTAGATAGGGATGATTTTGGCTGAATGTGGTTTATTTCTGAACACTTTTTGTGCTTTTCCAAAATAATTTTACCTATTCATTTGGGACTCCATACAGTTTCCACTTAATCATTTATTTTGTAAATTTTGGTAAATTACTTAATTGTTCTATTTCTATTTCTTTTCTTTCTTTCTTTTCTTTTCTTTTTCTTTTTCTTTTTTATCAGTACCAGGGATTGAACTCACAACTGCCTGCTTGCAAGGCAGGCACTTATGCCACTGAGCTAAATCCCCAGCCCCCTATTTCTACTTCTTCATTTTATTATGAGAATATCATTTCATATTTATCCATGGGCAGTAGAAGTAATTTAGTTCAAATGTGCTCAAAATTTCTAAGTCCATAATGGGTACTTAGCATATATGCTATAAAATATTAATTTTACTTCTAACACTATTCCCATTCTCCCTCAAAGGACAGAATTTAATGCACAAAACATCAGTAATAGTTTAATATCACTTTAAGTTATAAAACAACTCCTGTGCGTGGTGGTACATGCCTGTAATCCCAGCATTTAGAAAGCTGAGGCAGGAGGATTACCAAGAATTCAAGGCTAGCCTGGGCCACATAAGAGTTCAAGGCCAGCCTGAACTACATAGTGAGACACTCTTCAACCAAAAAAAAATTATGAAACAACTATAAATTCTTAGGAAATCCGTAAAGCGTTGGTCATCTCAAACAAATTAGATTGTAGTATGTTGAATTAATCCAAGTCTTCATGGGTACAAGATACTGCTCACAAGTCTATCCAGGTGACTTGCTGTGAGTACTTGGACAGCGCACTTAGACTCCCTTTATAAAACTAGCATGCTTGAACTGAGAGGTAGCTTTGGTGTTTCTCTCTGAGAGCTGAGACACACAGAGCATCTCTGCTAGAGGAAGTCGTGCAGCACATTGCTCCAGAGTTTGAGTTGAGCTCATATTTTTGTTTATCAGTGATCAAAAGTGTGATTTTGAACCTCCAGTTTGGCCAGCACTTTAATTTTCCTTGTCTGAATAATGAATAAGGGACCAACCTCGAAGTATTGCTGTGAAGATGAAATAAGAGAACACATGGATTATGTTTAGCAGAGGCCGCACCCAGTTCAGGCATTTGCATTCAGAATATGCTCAGTAATGAAAAAATTTATAGAGAATTTGAATAAAGCTACTAAATCCACTTATAGTAATATATTCTTTTAAAACCTTTTAGAGTGACTAAATTCTTAGCCACAAAAGTACTAGGTTAGGCTATTACAGCAATAATTCCTTGAAAATGGTATAGATTTGTTTATTGAAAAAGTTAAATTTTTTTCTACACCATGATTGATAGGTAAAATGGACTTTGTATTAATAATATTAATCTGGAAAATGCAGCATTCCTGCCAGAAAAGAAATGGGACCCCTACCAATAAAAGAATTAAGCTTAGCTTACTTAGGTGCTCAGGGGAATGTTAAAATTTCTAGGATCAAAGATAGCAATGTGCCAGGAGATGTTGAGGAAATAACATAGGAGGCTTTGGGTGTGTGTGGGGAACCGCAGGCGAGATGAGCTCCAGGACCTGGCATTCCCGGGGATTTAGACAGAAGCCAGAGTTACACTGGCATTGGTCTGGCCTTTGCGTGTGTGTGCAGGGCTCTGTCAGTGGGAGCGTGTTATATCAATAAAATCCTGAGAAGACACATACCACGTAAAAGATTATCACAATATTACCAAAATAGTAATAAATACTATTTATTGAAAGCCTCCTGTGTCAAAAACTCCTCTGAAAATGATGTGGACATGGTAATACAATGTAATGTGTGCTCTGGCTTGGAGAGGTCTTTTCATTGGCTGCTTGCTTTATTTGTGAACATGGTGAGTTTTGGAGGCATTTTGATTAAACTCTATGAAATATTTGAACATTATTACTGATGTACAGAGGGATCATTTATCAAAACAATACATAATGAATAAATGAATAAATTATGAGAACTATCGTGAGTAAGGACCATTTCTCTGCAAATGAAATACTCACATGAAAGTGCTCTGTAGGCAGCAGGGCTCTTTTAAATTGATTTGAAAATGTTTCACTGCAAATGTTCTCATATTTTACTGCAACTGCTTGGATCTCCTTCTGCAGGTTATTCCTGTTATTCACAGACTACAGTTGATTGATGATGCCTTTTCCTTATCTAAGTGAGTATGTTCTCTTTGCTCATGGTTTTAGAGTACACGATGAGAATTTTATAAAAATAATATCTTCTGGGCTGGGGATATAGCTCAGCGGACCAAGTGCCTGCCTGGCTACTACAAGGCTGTGAGTTTGATCCCTAGTACCAAAAATGAATAAATAATATTTTTACTCATATGAATTGGTTCTTTCATATACACAGGCCTTACCTGATTAAGATTATGATCAAATTCTATGATCCTGGTAGAATTTTATAGATTTTCTGGAAATAGGCTATCATTTGAGATTTCGAAGTGGTAGTAGGTGTAACTTTAATGATGATGTCATTACAAATATTATTTTTACATATACTAGATTTATTCATTATGAGCTATGCTGCTAAATATTTAACCAGGTAAATTAATATGTATTTGGGATTTAAGTGTTCAGGCAATAAAGTTAAGGAATGTGTATAAGAAATTGCTGTGTTTTCTTTCTCTGGTCTGTCATACTTCTTGGATGTAGGTCACATCTGCCTCTTTCCCCTGTGACCCATAGCAATTCCCTTGTCCAATGCTTTGCAGAAACTCCTCGCTGTGATCTACATGGCATTGGGACTGTGGAGCACTTCCTCCTAACAATGTCTTTTTTGACTTCCTGAGGCCCCACATACAAACTCTGTTCTCACGTCTGACTCTTTTCTTCCTTCTACTTTGAGCACTTTTAAGACCAACTGTGACTGTGTTATTGTCTTCTGTCTTTTTAAAAAATAACTCCTTATTCTGATTATTTCAGTTACCATTTTATTACGTATGTGCCCAGCGTATATAAAATGCTCAGAAAATATTCTAAATCAATGCCTCTAAGCCAACACCCAGTTTTCCTCTCTTGTGTTTACCCTACAGTCATTTAATTTAGTACATGAACTCTGAACTTTAGTTCTGTTTTGAGGTTGCAGTTGTTACCAGTTTCTCTCTGTATGTCAAGAGTACCTCTATTCTTCCCATCACCCAAATTTGAAACCTCAAAAATGTTGCTGTCTTTTCCTCCCTCCATCTCTCCTGCTAAGGAGGTATCTTCTTGATTCTAACCTTGGTATTTGCGCCACTTTTATGCTAAGCCAAGTTTTCATCATTTTTTCCTAGCCTATTGCATTAGATGGTATCCTTTTGTGTTTTAAATTTCCATTTTGCTTTCTTCAGCAATATGGAAAACAATTAGCCATAACTGCATTGTGTTACCCTGGTTGCTAACTACCTAAGGTGTCTTCCCACCAAGCCTAAACTATTCAATATTTGAGAGCTCAATGAGTTTAAACCAGTTCACCTGTTAGCCTCACCTCTCACTGCCTGTTAGATCTCTGTGCCCACCACACAAATCCCTACTTCACCTTTTGGTGCTGGGCTGCCCTCCTTTCTCTCCCCATTTTAATCCTACTCATCTTTCAGTTGTCTTCTCAAGGTCTTCCTCCTTGAGGCCTTTCCTGACTTTTCCTCTTTCTCCTGACTTTTTCGGGTGTTTGTTTTCCTTCTTTGCTAATGTTTAGTATACATCACCTTTTGTGGGACTTTTCATGATCAGTTTCTAATACTAAGTTTAGACTCCTTACTAAGGCTGTTAAGGGCAGGCAAATGTACTAGTATGTGTATTTCCAAGCAGCAGGCAGACAAGTAGAAAATGATTTTTAATGAATACTTGTTGAATGAAGTTATATTCTCATACGAATGCATGTCAAATGCACAATATTCTGTCACTTGATAATCAGTCCAACATTTGGCCTAGATTTCCAGGGGCTTCTAGTTGGACACTTGAATGTTCCAAGTTGTCTTTTTCTTTTCCTTTTTTTTTTTTTTTTTTTTTTTATCGGTACCAGGGACCGAACTCACGACTGCCTGCTTGCAAGGCAGGTGCTTATGCCGCTGAGCTAAATCCCCAGCCCCCGAATGTCCCAAGTTGGAATGGGAAGGCTGGCAGCATTCCTTGAGTTCCATCTCATCAATGAGATGAGACCTTTACCTCCTTGCTTGTTGATTTTGTCACTCACCATACTGAAGTCAGGCATTGAAGCCTAGAACAAATATAGAAGGAGTACAAATCAGTTGGTAGCTCCAGGGTTTTCTGAGCATATTTTCTTTTAAACCAAACAGAAACAACTATATTGAGATTGAAACAGCACTTGATTTAACCAAATACCTTGCTGAAGAAGATGAAATCATAGTCTGGCATGCAGTCTTGGCAAACTTAATAACCAGGGATCTTGTTTCTGATGTGAACTATGATATGTACCCACTATTAAAGGTAATTTTGTGCTTTGTTATGTAGTTTTAAAGTACATAATCTCTTCATTCCACATTCTAGCTGGCAGCTATGAGGGACAAATTTCCCAAAGTAGACTATCCATTCCATACAACTATACATTTTCCTTGCAAAATTACTTATACTTAGAAGACAATGCCTTAGCCATTGACCTGGTCTAGGAGACAAGTATGAGAGAAGCTTGGTACAGTACTTCATTTAAAAACAACCCAGAAATTAACAACTTTTTTCTTGGAAGAAGAACAAGTATCACCCAAGCCATAGGTTCGCCACCACTGCTCTAGAACATGTCAGTTATTATTTTGGAAGCATATATACGTATAAACCTAAGGTAAAATTTGCTTTATACTTTTACATTTTTCTGTACATTGGAAATATTTTGATGATATCAATAACTAATATTTATTGAGTTCTTACTGTGTGTCAGGCTCCGTGCTTATAGACATTATGTTATTTATAATATTCACAGTAACACCATAACATAGGTATTGTTATACATCACATTTTATACATAAGGGAACTGAACTTAGAGAAGAAAAATACAACAGTTACACATTCAATAACAAATTAAAATAATTTCTAAAAAGCTATATCACTTTTCCATTAATATCCTTACAGACAAATAGAATGTAGTGAAAATTCAGTGTTGTGAGCCAGGACTAACAGTACCTTTTTTGTGTGTGGTTTATAGAAGTATCTATTAAAGAGACTAAAGTCAATATGGAATATTTATGCAACTATAATTCGTGAAAATGTAGCAGCATTGCAAGATGACTATCTAGCCCTGTAAGTATTTTTAAGTAGTGGTAACTGAATAAAATGACTCATATTAATTGGATGGGCCTTCAAATTCATATAATAAAATCTTTTATATATATATATATATATATATATATATATATATATATTTGTCTTTTTCATTTTTATTGGTACCGGGGATCGAACTCACAAACGCCTGCTTGCAAGGCAGGTGCTTATGCCACTGAGCTAAACCCCCAGCCCCCATAACAAAATCTTAATACCTTTTTTTTGGTCTTTTTGAGACAGGGTCTTGCTATTCAGTTCAGGATGGCCTTTAGTTCACTTCGTAGCTTAGGCTGGTCTCAAACTGACAATGATCCTTTTGCCTCAGCCTCGCAAGTGCTGGGATTACAGGAGTGTGCCACTAGGCCCAGCTAACACCTATTATTTACTAAAGCAGTTTGTGTGCTATTTGAGAATAACAATGCTGAGATTGGTGAGATATGTCCTCACAGGAAATAATAACTTGGGGTCTTAATTTACTTACAAGGCACATGGATGTACTCATAGTTTAAACTGCCAAATTCTTAGAACTTAGACTACTGGTTGAAATTGTAAGTCAAGTCTTTCTAACGATAATAGGTTGTGCTAAGCAAAACTTCCCTATACTAGTAAAATGAAAAGTATGACAAGGTTACAGGGGAAAAAGTCCCCTCTGTGTATTATTAACAGGAATTCTACTATGACACATATATTATGAGGTATCTAGGTATAGTGGTGAATCATTTTAGCAGGTTTAGAGGCTGAGATAGATAGTTAGCAAGTTCAAGTCCAGCAGGGGTCGAGGTAGGTTGTCAGTGGCACACATCTGTGAATTTTATATGACCATGATTAAGCATTCAAATTATCTTCCTGTGAGGACTAAACATATTGTTATGACAGTCTGGGAAGGAGTGAAAGGCAACATGTGACCACAGTCCTTCTGTGCCTCCTATGGCCTGAGGTTTGTGTGTGGAGGCTGGACTTCCAAGTGTAGGAAGGGTATTGTGACCAAAAATAGTACAGACATTAAAGCTACAACTTGAAATCAGTGCTAAGCTCAAATAATTAGACCAAAGAAGAAATACAAAATAAAAAAAAAAATGTGATTATTCTCTCACAATAGCACCCTTCTGAGAAGATAAAAATTTTAGTGCTAGAAATTTTGTTAACAGGAAGGATATTGAGTGGAATGGACCAGTAGATGGAAGATAATGAGGACCTGTCTAGGATGGTGTAGGTATAGGCAGACTGTGGCAAAGAAAGGGAAGAAAAATTGTGCTCAATCAGACAGCATATCTGTTAACCAGACACATTCACAGCTCTTCTGCATTGGACTGGAGTGGCATCCTGGGGCCAGTTCTTCTGGAGACAAACTGCAATTCCATAGAACTCCATTTGTTGTGGCCAGTTTGGATTTGGGTTGGAAGTGAGAAGGAGTGGGTGTGCAAATGATTGCCCAGAACTGTCTCCAGAGTACCCTAGAAATGCCACCCCTGTTTATCACAAAGTCAGTTTGAGGTAGGTTGAAACTAGAGGGTGAAGCATTTTCTGGAAATTTTTTCCTGTTTGGCTTCCTTACCTAATCTCCAAAATTAGAGCGTGGTAGCAAGACACACTAAAAGGTATTATTTACCTGGATTTATTGCTATTCTTTGCTGTATTTCATCAAATTTATTTTGTTCTGAACCACAATGTGTACCACTTTCAACTGTAAAAACAAAACCAAACGAAACAAGCTGCTCTCTGGTTTTCCTAGGTATATATGTAATAGCCAGGAGAAGCAGAAAAAAGAAATAGATGCTTAAGCAAAGGAAAACAAACCATAGAAGGAGAGAAACACACTATTTTCTTTCCTTTTCTTGTACAGAGAAAGAATTTTATTTTTAAATGTACCAGACCAGATACACTAAAGACATGTTTTTAATCTAGAAGGCAATTTTTTGCAAAAGAAAAAGAGTAAATTGACCACAGATGTGGACAGTGTGTACAACCAGATGTGTCTGAAGGAGATGTTATGAAAGGGTGTTTGAAAATAGTCATCCTGTCATGAGATACACATTCATGGAAGCAGAGTAGATTAACATAATGCAAAATGCACTGCTTTTTATTGTCTTTTCCTTCAAGAATATCCTTAGAAAAACTTTTTGCAACTGCATGTGGGTTCGATCTTGAAGATTGTCTTCAGCTGTCAAGAGAACTCTTCAGCAAATGGATGAACCATCCAAAGGAGGAGTAAGAGCGATATTCTAATCCCCTTGTCCTGGTCCTATTAGCATGGTCCTATTCTCTGCCTTTTTGACAGTTTCACAGTGAGAGTGGTTGGTTTGCTTCCATCTCATTAACCTCTGTCTTTCACTTCTTTTTAACTAATTTTTAAAAGGTGATTGTCTACAGGTCTGTGCATAACAATAAGAGATTAGAATTTACACAACGAAGTGTCCCTCGTCATCACTCATTGCCAATGTGGTTTCTCAAACACAACAAACTCTATGCTTGTTTTGAGTCATGTTTTTATGATTATTTATTAATGTTATATACATGGGCACTATTTCTCTGCTTCTCGCTGGGTTTGCAGTCTCCTTGAGAGCAGAGACTATGATTCTGTTGTTTGGCTCTACCTCTAATACGCCACCTGAGACAAACTCAAAAAATGTGATTATCGGATAATGACCAGTCTATACTGCATTACCATAACTCACTTCTCTCTGAAAACTTTGATTAGTTTCTAAGCTAATTGGATGATCTCTTGTCAAGGCATTAATGCTAACACAGTTCTCACAAGTTCATTTGTAGATCTTGGCTTTTGATTTTTATATCTGAGGTCTCAGTCTTTTTCTACATTTATACTTCTAAATATATGACAACCTGGATAACTTAACTATTAAAACAAATACTGTTGCATGTTGTATCTTACAGAATACCTTATCCGATTAAAAATGTGATTTTGTGTTATGGCATTGCCTTGGGGAGTGATAAAGAGTGGGACTTTCTGTTAGATGTCTACACTAATACAACAGAAGAAGAGGAAAGAATTCAACTTGCTTATGCAATGAGTTGCAGTAAAGACCCATGGATACTTAACAGGTAATTATAGTCAACTTAATTTGAAAGTTACTGGGGGAAGAGAACGCGTTAACAGACATAAAACAAATGCATATTTGTAATTACTATGTTAGAATCATGAGATTTTAAACCATTTCTTTATCTCTATATTGGGTTCTTAAAATGTACTTTTTGCGAATGTGTTTTTGCAGATACATGGACTATGCCATCACTGGATCTCCATTCACTTTTAATGAAACAAACGTAATAGAAGCTGTGGCAGCATCTGAAGTTGGCCGATATATTGCAAAGGACTTTTTAATCAGCAATTGGCAAGGTGTGAGTAAAAGGTAAGGAGCTGAGATCTCCGCTTCCTTAGGATCACTGGTTTTTGATAGAGTCCAGCTGTGGTCTGGCTAGATCACCGCAGGCCTTTGTAATGACTAGAAAAGCTATGACAGCTCCTGCCTTTTGTCTCATTACCAACTGCGAAGAAGTCACTTAGCATCTGTTTTGGCTTCTGTGAGAAATTGCATTCACTTAATTCTCATGTACCTCAGTTTCACCATCATGTCCACAACAAAGTTTCACTTAAGAGGCACGCACTTGAGCAAGTCATTTCTTCTGGTGTGAGTTACACCACCCATTGATTATTCACTGCCATTACCACAATTTAAAAAGGCAGAGCTGGTGCCTTGGTCTAGATGCTGCTAATGTCTTTAACTTTTGGCAGATTCCCTTTATATATATCCCTGTGCTTTTAACATGTTTTACCTTTTAAGATGAACTCTTCTTGCTTCCTAGCTCCTCTGTTCAGTAAAATACATATTAGCATATAATAAAACAGCATGGCCTTAATGGCTGTCCGTGTAGAATATTGCTTTACCTCGCATTCTTAAAATCCTACAAGTAATGTGGGCAAGAAGTAGGTTTAGCAGCTGCTGTTACAGAGTTAGCAGATACAAAGTAGCTAACTGTTACCTTCAAAACATGTGAAAAGTTGAAAGATACTTTTTATAAATAAGTTTATCCTTTTGGAATAGTAAGTATATTTAGAGTATGATAAGAATACAGATTTGGTTCTCTTACAGAGTAAATTAATGGACTCTTTACTATTGTAAACATTTTTGAACATCTTTAAAATACCAAAAGAGATGATGTTTTAATCAGAACAATTGAAACATGTAAATAAAAACTTAGTCTGTAGCTCATCAGTGGGACACACAGACTTACACCCGCACCATGAAAATACTGTCTTTTCCCCCTGTTTCAGATTATCTGTCATTCTTGGTTCATTTCTGTAGAGAGCCATATACATTCCTCATGATTCCTGGGATCTCTCAAAACTTGGGGGGGGGGTAAATTATGTCTGCTATCTTTATTTAAATCATTAAAGGTAATCCCCATCTTCCTCAATCCTACTTCCCACTAGGAATTTGGGAGATGAATGTTAAATAAGAATTATTTACACAAATCCTCCTACTATATGAGATTTCAAAGACTTGACCCTCATGGGGCTGTCTGTGAGTCTCTGTTCATTCTCCCTCTGGGAACAAAAGTTCCCCGTGCTCTCTCTGGGTCTAACAGGTCTGATTTTTCCTTGTCTGTGCATCCATTTGGCCTCCTGTTGCCTTGGTCATCTTGGTCAGTCATTCACTTCAGCTTCAAGTATTTGATTCTTTGAGAATCTCCTGCTGACCTCTCTAATAGCAATTTTGGAATTAAATATAGAGAAATTTTAAGAAATATGTCACGATTTGCCTGGGGACCCAAGTTATCATCACCATAGGTTGTCACATTCTCTGTTTCTTCTGATGCACTGCTGGGCTCTGAGAAGATGCAGGTTCACAGTTAGTTCCTGGACTTAATAGTTAGTAGTGTTCATCACACATGTGCTTACGCTACTGGGTGTTAGGAGTCCCAGATGGTCGTGAGTCTAAATGAGGAGGTGCTTGATAGCCCCAAGAAATGTCCACACATAGACTGGTGATCTAAACACAAACCAGAAATTTAAAATTTGGCAAAGGTTCAGAATCATGTGGTGTGGCTCATCAACCAGCCTATTTACCCTTTAAAGCCAAAATTTGCTACAAATAAGAAAGACTGCCTTTCACTGGATTTTACACAGTGAAAGTTATATAAAATCATGTAAGGCTGCACTGCCAATACACTAGCCACTAGCTAACATGTGGGCATTCATATTTAAATTAACATTAGTTAAAGTTAAATAAAATTTAAAATTCAGTTCCACAGGTCAGAGTGTGGTGGATACCAGCACTCTGGGACACTGGGGCAGGAGGATTGCAAGTTCAAGCCCAGCCTGCACAATTCACTGACTTAGAAAGACCCTCTCTTAAAAAAAAAAAAAAAAAAAAAAAATTAAAGCAAAGCTACAGATACATCTCAATGTGAAGACCCTAGGTTCAGTACCTAATACTGAAAAAAATTTCAGCTTCTTAATATCACTATTTTAAGCACTCAGGTGACCAGTGGATACCATATTAGATAGCATAAAGAATATTTCTGTCATTGGGTAGGACTGATGTAAGGGGGAAACCAGCCCCTCAATTAATTTTCCTCTCTTCTTATACCATACATGCCACACATGCAAATGGGTTTTAACCCACTTACACAATCCACCTGAGGCATGCGGTCCTGTATTCATAACTACTCAGCACTTTAAATCACCAGACTGTCTTTTCCCCCTGCAATTAAGTGATAAGGGCACAATTCTAATGCAATAGAGTCATCAGCTCATCCACTGAGCCAAATGTATCATAAAGAATCTCATGCAATTTTGCTAATGGTTTTATTGGGAAAAAGTATTTGTGAAGTGTTAAAATAAAAGTTCAAATTCATAATTAACATGTAAACACTTAAAATGTCACAAGACTATTTTCTTAGTTTTTGTAAGTCAGAATATTTAAATGTCACTTATTAAAGTTATAATTGACATGAGTATTTGAATGTTGTCAGTCTTCATGTAATGATGCAGATAGTATAAAAAATAAGTGAAAACAGCTTATGCCCAATTTAATTTTATGTTAACTGTGTAAAAAGTTTTTATACTGAATTTTCCAAGCTGTGACTGACTACTAACAAGTAAATACTTAGTATTTCTTGGGTGTGTTTAACTGTGTTACTCATGAAAGCAGTTGGTCAACAAAAGAGAAATAGCCCATGTAGTTTCAGACTGTCTGTCCTAACCTCCGTTTTTGTAAACTCACAATATATTTTATCATCACAAAGTCTCCAAGAAATCCTGTAAAAAGAAATTTAAAGTTTTCTGTGCATTTTGGGAGCCTGGCATCACAGTCCTTGTGATCTCCACCCTGAGGTATGCTAATCTCAACAAAGTATTATTTTGTGACCACATGGTCCAGAAGAAAGACATAAAAGATACACAATTTCCCCATTCTATGGTCTAGATCTAAAATGGAAACATCTATTATTTGCCTACTAGTTGACATTTAGGCTTTGTTTTTCCTCTTGTATAAAATGACAAGGGTTGATTTTGATAATTTTTTTAAAGTTCTGATAACGAAGTATTATAAAGGTATAGTTCAAGTCATTACTGGGGATGTAAAGTGACAAGGACATTGGATCAAGTTTAGTCCTTTAAATAGCATGCTTGTATATGCAATAATTACAATTTTTATACCCACCTGAAATATTACCAGTTAAAAACCAAGACCCAACAGTCAGGCGTTGGAGCTGATAATATCACCAGTAGTGGGCTGTGGACCTTTCCTCACCTCAATCAGGCCTATAATTCTTCCCCGAAGCCTAACCTAGAAACATGTTCAAATATTTGATGAAGTCAAACAACTTGTGTCTTGTCCTTCTCCTCACTCCCAGAAGCAGTTACTGTTGCTGTGGGGAATTTACTCAATTTTGGAACCAAAGATGATCTTTTGAAATGTGAACTCCAATAAAGGAAACTCCACTGGCCATAAAGACAGCTTTCTGGTTACCAGAAAGTATGTCCGTGCAGCTCTGGGTGGAGCCTATGAGAGAATGTGAACAAGGATGAAGCAGTAGTGTTCTGTGACTTTGTACTGATGTGATAGAAAGCAGTATTTATGATGTAAATCATGTGTGTTGTGTTCTTCAGTCTACAGGAAAATTATTTTATCTGAACATTTCATTCAAAGCACAATCAGTTTAAACTTAACTGGTCCAAAGTGAATCTTACCCTTTTCTTCACCATGATTTCCTGCACTTGTTGTTATGAACCCTAAAGGCTTAAGCTGCTCTGTGGATTTCCAATGGGGAGCACAGAGATGAAAAGATTAAACAGGAGCATAGACAAAGTGAGGTGTTCTCATAGGGCAGTACCCCAGCCCTTTCTGCAGGGTCTGTGCTCAGAGCCTGGCCTTGGGGACCCCAGGCTTGCCTAGGGGCTGTGCTCCCCACAGAAAGGCAGACCTAGTGGAGACAGGGTGACTGGAGAGAACTATGGGAGGGCAAGCCAGACTAGAGTGCCGACTGACTGTGCCACACTAGCACTGGATGTCACTGATAATACACTGATACATACTGGCACCTGCCCTCATATTCATTAGAATGCATTTGAATACTGGTAGGGATAACTACTTGTAAGGTGTATATTTTGGTTCAGGAATATTGCAAGACAGTGTGTTTTAGCCAAGAACAACTCCTCTTGCAGTTGAGGTTAGGAAGGAGTAGAGACTGTCAGATACTTTAGTATGCACCTCCACAGGCGGTATCTGGGTCCTCAGAATATTGCCTGTAAATACATCTTGTCTTTATTTTTACAATGGATGAGTTTACCAGATAACTTTCAATGCAGCCCTCCTTTCAAGGCAACCTGTTCCTTGTGTTTGGTAAGAAGTCACGTGTCATTAGGCAGGTTTCCTTTGCTTTTAACTTTGTTTTTAAGGTTGAGACTCAGCCTTACATCATATCACAGGCTTTTTCTACTTGGCTGCTGAGACTGGAGAACAGCAGACACTCCTGGTCCCCTTACACACAGGTTTCCTGCCACCTCGAGTAACTGTGGCTTTCCTTGCTGCTGGGAACTTACAAAACACAACTTTATTTTCTCTCATTCTTATTTGTTCATGTGTCAAAATTAACTCCTCTCACTTTAGATTTCAAGTATGCATTTTTGAAGTAATTCAACTTGTATTAACTACTAAGGCAATTAAAATATTTAACCATTTCTTCTTCTGTCCATTATAATAATCCTCTTTTAATTTTTCTTTTTTCTTTAATGCATCCCAAAGTCCCTTGTTTACTTTTTAGCTGCAGCAACACCTTGGAGAGGTATGTATGTGTTCTTTTTCCATGGCAACACTTTTGTCAGATGATTCTTGGATATTTGCAGACCCTGAACTAAACAGGGACTTTCAGTTATTGGAGGCAGCTCAGGTACCTACGGTACTGTCAGAAAACAGAGATCTTCTCCCCCCAAACACACATAAATTCTACCTTTTAAATACACTGCAGGGCGCCCTAGTGAACGGTTCTGGAATTGAATTTGCATTATTGTTTTTTGAGAGACATAATCTCATGTTTATTTACTCCCTTATAAATTTTCTTGAGACACAAACTGTGTCTATGTTCTAGCTACCTCATTTAAAAAATATGTTTTTTAAAAAGTATTATATTTAAATAAAACTTTTAAAATAATGTTACACAAATCAGTAGTTACCTAGAAATATTTGTTTAGTAATAGAATTTTCCCTAAAATAGATTTTCTGTTGAACAATGAAGTTAAACTAATTGCTTTTGCTTAGGTTTGGAAAATAGAAATTAATAGGGACTGCATATTTAGCATTTTTTCCTGCTGCATAACATACAACTGTATTTTGCAAAATTATTTTTGACACCTGATTCGCTTTGCATTGCTTTGTAGGTATGGACCACAATCACTGGTTACTCTGATATATATAATAGGGAGAACTGTAAGTACAGATCTACAGGTCATGGAGGTAAGAACCTTACATATTATGAAATATAATGACAATTTAGAAAGTACTTTTCATGTAATTTGGACTAAAATTAAAATCCATGCATTTATTTGAATATTCCATCTGTGCTTCCGTTGGTCCTCCCATCGTTGTGAGAAGGAGGTGTCTAACTGAACAGACTGCTCTGTGCATGCAGCTTGGACCTCACCCTTTCATCTGCTTCCCTTTGATGGCCCAGGTGCCCTCTACCAGGCTGCTCCTCCCACCATCTAGTCTTCACACTGGTGCCAGGCATTGCCCAGTTCAGAAGTTTCTGCAACTTCTTATAGGTTCTAGAAAAGGAGTTTTGATTCACACCGGAAGCCCTTTAAGATCTGGTCTCTGTCTTACTGTTGTTTAGATTTGCCACCTCATCCTAGCATGTCTAGAGCCAGAGAGACTGACAGAGTCCGCAGTACTTTTCCTCTAGCTCTGTGTATCATGTGGGGTTTCTGTTGTTCACATTCTAGATTTAAGAAAATCTGCACCTTCCGTCTATGGTACCATCCCCATCCTTGTTCTTGGCTGGATAATTCCCAACCCCCTATTTGAGGAGATTTTTAGTACATGGATTAATATACTGTCTTCCTCCAGGCCCCCAAAGCATCCTGTCAAGGTCTTTGTCATAGCACGTACCACACTATACTGTAATGAGCATGCAGATACTCTGTCCTACACACTGTCGTAAACTCCTTAAGGACTGATGCTGTATCAGCCGTGCTTATATGTTAAAGTAAGGCAGGGCTTGTTATTTCTTCTATTTGCTCCCCTGTGAGCTGGAAATTTTTTTAAGTAGGCTTCACACGGAAACAAGCACAGATCCATCTCAAGGTGATTATATTGAGTAAGAGAAACCAGTCACATTCTGAGAAATGAAAACTAATCTGGAGTAATGAAAGGCTGATCAGCAGCTGCCTGGGAGGGGGAGTGAGCCACATAAGGTCACAAAGGAAGATTTCAGGGTGATAGAAGGGGGGCATCCTGTCTGGATTGTGCCTGTAGTTTCAAAGGTCAATACAGTATCAAAGCTCATTATAGTCTGTTATTATATAATTTATATCCCAATAAAATTCTTTAAAATTAAATACTAGGGGGCTGGGGATTTAGCTCAGTGGCATAAGCGCCTGCCTTGAAAGCAGGCAGTCGTGAGTTCGATCCCTGGTACCGATAAAAATAAAAAAAAAAAAAAATTAAATACTAGGGCTGGCTCCATATTAATATGTACAGGAAAGGGCTGTGTACACAAGCAAGAAAACCGAACCCTCCTCAAGGAAATAAACAAATAAATGTGTAGGTCCCAAAGGCCTGAAATGGTCTCTTATGCCCATAAGCCAATAAAACAGAATAAAATAAAATAAAGGAGAAACAGTAAATTATGTAGTTGTGATAATGAAGGAGGGTGAACTGCCAGTTCCTGAAGGAATTATTTCTGGGTTTTGGCCCACTTGAAGCTGCACTGTCAGGACCATATGGGTCAGGGATTTCCTGGAGGAGAAAGGGAATACACACAGAGCATGCTGGGAATGAAAGCTCTCAGGTTTGAGGCTGAGTTGTGTTTGCTATCTTCTTTTTGATAACATATATGTTACTATATAGTTTCTTTTTTTTTTTTTTTTTTTTGTCTTTTTCCTTTTCATCGGTACCGGGGATCGAACTCACGACTGCCTGCTTGCAAGGCAGGAGCTTATGCCACTGAGCTAAATCCCCAGCCCCCTACTATATAGTTTCTGTATTCTTATTAATGCCTATTAATTTCACAAATTGTTGTTTTTCAATACAGTATTTTCACACATGCATATAATGTATTTTGATCATATCTATCTAATAACATACACAGTTAATCTTTGCCTTTATGGAATCCAGTTTTGTTACTTTTCCTTAATGCATTAATGAATAAGGCTTGTATAAATTAAGCAATCCTCAAAGTTCCAACACTCTATAGTCACAATTGTTTTTTAATGCAAAAATAGATTTAGCAGTGATCATTGCAATTTTGAAAACAAATAAGCTATAACAAATATCATGGTAAACAATATATCAGTGTCCAGCAGTCTTACTAGATCACTTGGGTTCAAAAGGCGATGGCTAGCTAGCTGCTAAAATGGCGAGGTATAAAGAGGTCATCTGAGTCCCTCCCACCCTTCCAGTCCTGTGCACCCTCCACTGCTCTGGCTTTGGTCCTTTTGGTTTACTCTGTCAGAAGTCTGGCCTTATGCTTGCCCTTAGGCGGGGTTTCCCTAAGGTCCCACAGGCTCCCATTTCCCCGCCACCACAGCAGCAGTCCCATTGTGGACAGAGCTGTAAGCATGTGGCTCCCGCCTCCTGGCAGGTGTGGGCAGGGTCGGCAAGAGTGAGAGGCTTGTTCCTCGCTCTGTGCTCTGCTTCCTCTAGAACTGTACTTTTACATTGTGATTAGGGTTCGAGCCCTGTTTACTGTTCAATTGAAGTGCATCAGGGTTTAAGTGAGTGTTCAGGATGTGCTATGGGTACATTGTTACCATGATATGTGTCCTAGCTAAGGCACTGGTGCAGAAATAGGTTTTTGGAGTATAATTCATTATTTAGTTGGAGTCTGACTTATGTATAATATTGTGGCAAATATTCCAATAATTGAATGCTTAACAGTGACAATTGAGCCAGTGGATGGATTCACTGTCAAAATTATTTTTAAAAATTTAACTGACAGATAAAAATTATGCATATTTATGGGATACCCTTAATATTTCAATATACATATATACATTGTGAAATGTTCAAGTCAGTACAAACTTTTGTATATCCTCATTACCTTCTCAATGTTCATTTCTTTCTTGTGAAAACACTCAAAATCCCTTCATCTAACTTTAAAAAGACCCCATATACTATGGTCATTTATAGCCATTGTGCACTAGAACACCACAGCTTGTGCAATAGATTACTAGAACTTCTCTCTCCCTTGTCAGAAGTGCAGTTTGCATATATTTTCTCCCACTCTGTAGGTTCTCTCTTCACATAATCACTTGCTCTGTAAAAGCTTCTCAGTTTGATGAAATGCCATTTTTGCACTTTTGCTCCCCACCCCATGAAACCCTTGACTATTCCAGTATCCTGAAGCATTTATCCGGTGTTTTCTTCTAGTAGTTTCATAGTTCTAAGACTTATGTATAGGTTTTTAATCCATTTTGAGTTGATTTTTGTATGTGGGAGCCAGGGGTCTAGTTTCATTCTGTTCATATACTTATCCATTTTCCCAGTACCATTTATTGAAAAGACAGTCCTTCCTACGATGTATGTTGTTAGCATCTTTGTCCAAGACCTATTGGCTGTAAATGTGTGGGTTTATTTTGAGGCTCTCTGCTCTGTTCCCTTCATCTGTCTGTTTTTATGCTAACATGGTATCATGCTGTTTTTACTACTACAACTTTATATTTTGATGGTAGGTACTATAATGCTTCCAGTCTTGCTCATTTTGCTTAAGATTGCTTTGGTTATTTGGGATTTCTATATTTCTATACAAATTCTAGAATGTTTTTTCTACTTTTGCAAGGACTGTCATTGATATTTTGATAAGATATTGTACTGAATCTTTAGCTTATTTTGGATAGCATGGACATTTTACCAGTATTAATTCTTCTGAGCCATGACTATGAAATATCTATTTATTTTATATCTTTAATTTTTTATCCATATTTTATTGTTTTCATTATAGACCTCTTTCTCTTCTTTGGTTAAAAAACTTCCTAGATTTTTTTTGTAGCTACTTAAAATAGGTATGTTTCCTGATTTTTTTCAATATAGTGACATTGGTATATTTCTATTAATATCATTATTATTATTATTTGTACCAGGAACCAAACTCAAGATCTTGAGCTTACCAGGCAGCTGCTTGTGCCACTGAGCTATATCCCTGGCCCCTTATATATTGATTTTTGTGTCCTGCAACTTTGCTAAGTTTATTTGTTCTGATAGTTTTTTTAAATGGAATCTTTGGGGTTTTCTAAATATAAGAGCATGGCATTTGCAAATAGTGACAATTCAGCTAAAATACTCAGAAACGTGCTCCTGTTCTTGCTTACTAGACCTTCCACTCATATGTAACTCTTTTGAGCAGCTGTGGTCTCGACCGCACTGTCTTAGTCACAGACTCCCCAGGGACACAGCCCCGGCATACAGGTTCCCGCTCAGCCCAAACATCCTCATTCCTTTGCAAAAGCATGTTTCCAATTAGCGAGAACGTTACTGTATGTAAGAATTGAGACTGCACTGATGAAATGTCTCTCTGTCCTTCCAGCTGCAGCAGTTTTTCAGTAACATGTTGGAGGAGCACCAGAGGATTTCAGTTCATGCCAAATTGCAGACCATAAAGAATGAAAATCTCAAAAGCAAAAAGCAAAGTGCCAGGATAGCTGAGTGGCTTCGGAAAAACATATAGCTCATGGCTGCATCCAGTATACCTCTTACATATTATAATCTCTTTTTGCTCATGGTTTTGTCTCCCAGTTCTTTGTGAGTCTGACGAACTGCATGCTTTCTTTGTATTTCATCCACATTCAGGACTTTGGGCAGCAAACCCACAGCATTTTCTTTAAATACTGTGTAAAAAGAAATTTACCGAAGAAAATCTTTTCTAATTCTGTTGTGAAGACTGCAGAATATTAAATCATTGACATTAATGAAGAGCACATTCTTTCTTGAGGAAAATACACACTCATAATACTCTAGGGTTTCTTTAGTTCAGTGTTGAAAGAGTAATGAGAACACAACATAACAGTGTGAAGCAACAGAAACCAGAAAAATAATCTTCACTAGAAGATGCGGAAGCCAAAGAAAAGCAAGTTTCAAAGAGGAAAAATAAACAATTTTATGAGCCATATTAAGTGCCTTAAAGATAAGAAATGTACCATTTTTCCCTCCTATGGAATTTACTATATTGAATGTATTTTGCGGGTATGAATTTGATGAAATTATGAAATGACAAATGATTGTGGGATTCATGAGATGCCAGAGGCATCACACCGTGGGGATGAAGGGTGTCACAGAGCTCCTGTGTGTTCAAAGACAGGTGGACTCTCTGCCAGCCAAAGTGTAGAAGAAAAAATAATGCTGTCAAAGAACAGCGCTGATTATGAGTTAATCTTTGGGGCAGAGGGGAATCTTCAAATGAAGGGAAGTAGAAATAAAAGGTTAACAAGAGCATAATCCTTACAGCTTTGCACTCAGGGGATTAAGTGTGAAATGTAGTTTTGTGCAACCAAATTGAATCTACTTGTCACGTGGATCAATTCAATTTAAACAGTTTCATCAATTGAAATGTATGGAATGAGTTAAATTTTGTCACACTTGATTAAAACAGGACCACTGAGACAAATCATTCCTACTGACTTTGTATATACAATTAAATCCTTCCTTTTTTTCTTTACATTTTGCTTTGGGTTTTTTGTATGTTTGTTTTGAGACAGGTCTTGATATGTAGTTTAGACTGATCTTGAGCTTGCTTATGTATCCCAGTCTGGTCTCAGACTCCCTGTGATCCTCCTGCCTCAGCCTCCCAAGGGCTGGGATTACAGACGTGTCACTGTGCCAAATTTTTGCTTTGTTTTTGAGAATAGGAGTTAAAACTGCATATCTCCTACCTACCTCAGGACAGTACTGTAAAGTGTAAGGAATATGCTGTCAGTTAAAAATCTCTGAAGATGTTATATAAACTCAAGGCAATGTGATCTAAGGCTTTTTTCCTATTTCTTGTATAAATTACATGAGTCATGAATGAAAGTATGGTACAAATTCACCTTTACATTCCCCTCACACAGGGATGCTCCTTCAGTGTCAGCGGGAGCCTATGAACTTCACTACTTGGCCAAAAAAAAGGACAGTCTACTCTGACTGGGCCATAGGTCATAGATCACATGTCAGAGGATGCTGGCTTTACAGTTAGCAATATAAATTTTCACCAATGAAATATCTCCACTCATTTAAATTGTGATGTGTATGATATTTCCTGTTTTTTCTTACACAATTCATCAGGCAGTTGCATATTTCCGCAGTCTCACCTTTCACTAACTTGGTGTTCATCTATCCTCTGCACTGTTCTCTTCTTTCTCTCCCTCCCTTCCAGTCCTAGTCCCTCTCTTTGCCCCTTAGCTTCCTACCCATTCCCTTTCCCCCTTCCTGGTGACCTCTGCCTTCCCTGTCTGGCTGTCCTCTCCACTGTGCTTTCTCTTTGATTCCACCTTGGTCTGGGGTCCCCAAGTGCCCCTTGCGGCTGACACCTCGGGCTGAGTGGGCTGTGATGCCTGGTACCAGGAGGTGCTGGGCTCCGCCTGTCTGGCTGACGAAGGCAGTGCGCAGCTCTCTGCAACCTGTTTGTTGAAAGCTGCACGATCTGGTTTTGTCTTAGCTTCTGTGGTGGTTAAACCATGTTAAAGGTGCTTCTCCCAAATCAAATGCACAAATATTTAATAACCACTCCTCCAAATATGAAGACTTGTAAATACATTTTTAGAAACTTGGATGAAACTTTTTATTCCAAATAAGCAGTACTTCTTAGTATACCTTACAGTATGCTTGTTGTAAATGTAAATAATTACTGACTGATTGCCATGGTGGTTGCACTGAAGCAGTACAGGTGAGGGAGTAATACCAAGGTGTATTTCTCCAAATAGAATAAATGCTTTATTTCCCTATAAAATCAGCAAATCTATTAGTACTCCAACTATAAACAGCTTCCCTGACCCAATCCTAGAAACAGTTAATAAAGTGTACAACACGGTCATGGTTCTTAAAAAATTCAGCTACTAGGAGTTAGAGTTTTCCTCACAATCTGTGCTTTATTCTGCTCAAACACATTTGGATCCTTTCCATTGCTGATATCAAACACAAGAACAGATAGCTGAGTCTGATGTTCGTGATCAATTGCAACTTAGATTTCTGAGAAAAACCTGTACAGCAGTGTATGGAGGAGTGACTGAAGGAGGACAATACAATTTCTCTTAGCTTATTTTCTTGAGAAAGCTCTTCCTGGGCCGGGGATATAGCTCAGCAGCACAAGTGCTTGCCTGGCAAGCACGAAGTATTGAGTTTGATTACTGGTATAAAAAATGAAAGAAAGAACAAAAAGAAGAAAGAGAAAACAAAAGAAAACTCTCTTAGTTACCGTTAATCACCTTTGCAATAATGAGTGCTAGCCTATTCCCCACCCAAACTGTGCAAAGCCTTCATGGGGACTTGTAAGTAAACATAACTGCCTCTCCTGTGTGACCAGTTGTGTAGCATAGCAGCCTTTGAAACAATCTGTATACTGCCTCTTACTCATTCTTCCCAATGCAACCAGATTCACAAAGATATTCTTTACAACACATGTTTATAAGAATTAGACTCTTTTTTAGAAGTGGGCCATAAGGACGAAAGAGGACAAGGTAGATATCTGCACCCATGGGCACCAAGGTGGGGAGGTCGTGGCCTGCGACTGAAGTGGGCTTAAGGGCTTGGCTGTGGTGAAGCAGCTCACCCAGAGCGGGTGAGCACAGCCATGACACTGGAGCCCCAGCAGGGTGACGTTAGTGACCACAGGGCAGGGTAGTGCCATTATGACATGGGGAGCCAGAACCAAAAAGGCAAGCAGGACCTGAGTGACTTGGGCTTTGAGTTTGGGGACAGCTAGTATTCTTGAAAGTATAATTCCTTTGCTTAAAAGTTTACTTTGTGAATAAAGTAATTTGTGTATGCATGTGTGTCCACACACGTGATGTGAATGCATGTGTAAGTAGCATGTGTTTGAGCACCTTCCTGCCCTATGCTGAACTGCCCTCTGATTTTTCTGATTACTACAGGTAAGAAACACCAAGGTACAAAGCTTTCTGTTTTTATTTCCTCACATTTGATGCCAAGCTGAGTGAGATGAAGCTATCATCCTCTCTGCTTCCAGCCTGTGAAAAGTAGCCTATTTAATGACTTAACAAGCCCTAGATCCTGAGAGCTCATAGATCTATGTATCGGAGGAGTGAAGGAGCCCTAAGCATGCAATTTTAAGCACTCTATCATTTAGATAGTCTGAATTGTTCTTAAGTAAAATATGCTGTTAGTTCCATCAGTTCTCATGAACAGGAACAATCCTTGATGACATGGAGTTTCAGGCCTCATTTATAAAACTATCACCAGAATACCCCACAATGGAGATTGTACAGTGTCTCCCATCATGTGTTTTTTTGACTTATGAATAGAGAACAGGAGGGGTTCCTAATCATTTAGAACCAAATAATGGCTCCAGGATTTATGAACTCCTGTAAAAGGTAGGCAGATAAAAGTACTAGCCCAAACATTTGTTTCTTCTTAAAGTTGATATTTTTCTTCATCCTTCTTCCCAATACATATTCAAATTTTTGGAGAAAATATTCTCATTTTATAAAGAATCTCAGAAGTTATGACACCCTCAATTAGAGGTAGTATAATACAGTATGATTTGTAAGAAAACATTCATTGTGAATATCTTCTTTGTGATTCACTGAGCAATGTGTTACATCAGCTTGCCTCAGCCTCAGAGGAATTCTGTCAGTCAGTATGTCTGTTAGGACCCATCAAAAAAGCATACCATACTTGTCTTTTAGTGCCTTGGTTTTAACATAAGTTTTTTAAAAGGGCAATTCACTGTACACATTTTATTTGGTTTTGCATACTGTCTTAATACAAATGGAATGGCTTTTCTCCTTGAGCCATTTTTAACCAAAGCAAAAACAACCTAATTAATGTAAAGTATTAAAATTCAGCATCCCCGCACTCAGGAGACTGAGGCAGTAGGATTGCTGTGAGCCTGAGGTCAGCCTGGGCTACATGCTGACTGCAAGGCGAGCCTGGACTACAGAGCAAGGCCTTGTCTCAAAAACCCCAAATTAATTAATTAACTATAATAAAATAAAATACAGCATACAGATCCAAAAACAGACATAATTATTCTAGTTAGGAATGTAATTATGATGTTATGTTTTTATAATCCACAACTGTGTTTAGGAAATCACACAAACAGAATGAAATGTATAAATTTGTAGTAAAGCTTTGTAGTTATAAAAACATTACCAAAGGATGCACAAAATTAATATTTATTCCACACTTGTGTCATATTCTTGGGTCCTTTACCAATTGTATGTGTGGAAAAAACAAATGAAAACTCTTCACCATCACTAATGTTTTTGAGTAGGGAAACAAAATCCAGTAGCCATTAGCAAGAGTACAACACAGATAATGCTGTAAAAAAGATATAGAGATAATTTCTAGAAAATTGTATGCGTTACCCTCTTTTAAATCAGCAACATAGGCTCATGCATACAATGGAACATAACAAGTTTTTCCTGTTGGGGTACAGAAATTGAACTGTCTTTGAATATTGTGAATGGGTAAAACATGTTTGTAGTAGTAATTCTGCTAATCTATTAGAGTGGACCAGGAACACATTTATGGATTCTGGGGGTGCTGTGCATTGTACTGTAACTCTCTGACTGGGACAGTGGACACTTTAGCAAAAATTAAAAAAAAAAACTGAAGTAAAAAACTCTCATAAATTTACAACATTCAGATGGGATCAAATTTAAATGCAGTCTACTCTGCTTTTGAAGAGACTTTGGTTCAGCTCCCAAATCTCGATTGCTTGACGCAGTCTCCTGTGAGAAGACTCAAAAAGTGCCTTCTTGCACAACAAACCTGTTTTTAGGGATGGAGTCCCTCTCAGTATCTGTGTCAGATGGAACTGGTAACTAATCACCGTCTGTGGAGGAAGCTCTAACCTTTCCTTGTACACTCTAAGTGTTGAAGAGCCTCTCTGTCCTCACATTCCGCCCTTCATACCGCTATCTTGTTACCTTTAGCTCTAACATTAGCAGCGGCTCCTCACACATCATTCTGGAATCCCCAGGATATTCTCCCACGAGGCACCGCAGTGTCTGCAGGCAGAAGCAACTCAGGTCACTTTGTCTCTGCTCTTGTTCAGTGTGATTAGCCATTGTCCTCCCGTTTGTCTTTCTTGTCTTCCCACATGGGCTCAATACTATGCCTAAAGAGTGAGGGGTCACAGCTGCGAATTACATTACAGACAACTGGATAGGGCTGTGCGGAGCTCAGAAATCTTCAGCAGTGTCAAGCTTACAGATTAGTCGAAGGTTTGCTTCCCAAGTTTTATTTTAATTTTTATTCTTTTTTAAGTTCAGAGCACTTATATCTGTTCTGTGGACAGTTTTTAACAGTGTTCTGAGATAGCAACCTCCTGCTTTCATTCTGTTTTGTCCTCTTCTGCAGGGAATTAGGAGGAGGGGTGATTCTCCTATCCCACAGTTACCATTTTAGATCCTAATAGAAATTATTTTTAATTGATTAAGGATATTAGTATATCTCAGATATAGAGAATGATCACATTCATTATAGAGAATGTGCACCTGTACATGATAATAATTGATTCTTTTTTCCCATTCCCGTCCTCCCTTCAACTCCTCTTTCCATCCTTAGTTGAAAAAGCTTGTTTCCATTATTTCCTTCTTTCTCATCATATTTTTTCCTTTCCCTTCCTTCCTTTCCCTCAACCCACCCACCCAGGTGTCATCATTGAATTTTTTTCCTATTTCACAATATCTATTATACATTTTCATACTTATTTACATCTTCTTGACATTAGCCATTCTCTCTGCGATGAGATGGAATCTAAGTTTTTTTTTTTTAATTTGTTTTTCTCAAATGACCAGCGATGCTGAATATTTTCTATATATTTGTTTGCTGGTTCTACTTCTTCATCTGAGAAGTGTGTGTTCATTTTAGATGTCCACTTTTGGATTGGGTCTTTAAATTTGAGAGATACGATTTTTTTGAATTCTCTATAAATTCTAGATATTAGTCCTTTATCTGAGGAATAGCTGGCAAATTTTTTACCACTTTGTGGGTTGTATCTTCACTCTGTTAGTGTCTTCTATTGTGTTCAAAAGCTTTTTAATAACATGAGATCCCAGTTATTGATTCTTTGTAGTAGTTCCTTTGCAATTTGGGGTTTTGTTCACAAGTTTTTGCCTATACCAAAGTCTTCAAAGGTTTCATTTATTCTATTTTCCAGAAGATTTAGTGTTTCTGTTTTAATATTTAGTTTTTTGATCCATTTCGATTTTAGTTTAGTGCATGGTGAGAGATAGGTCTCTAGTTTTGATCTTCAGTGTATGGGAAGCCAGTTTTTCCAGTACCATTTATTAAAGAGGCTATCTTTCTTCCAGTGAACATGTTTGGCACCTTATCAAAGATAAGGTAACAGTATATGCTTGCAGTTATTTTAGCATCTTCTAATTTGTTCCATTGATCATTGGGTCTGGGTTTTTGGTTGTTTGTTTGATTGTTTTTGCCAGTACCATGCTGGGGTTTTTTTGTTTTTTTGTTTTTTTTGTCCCGGGGATTGAACTTATGACCTTGCACTTAGCAAACAAACACTTGAATTACTGAGCTAAATCCCTGACCCTACCATGCTGCTTTTATCACATTAGCTTTGCAGTATAATTTCAAGCCAGGGTTGTGATCTCCCCTGCCTTTTCTTTATAGCTTAAATTTGTCTGTTGAATTCTGGTTCTCTTCTGGTTCCAAATTAAGTTTTGTTTTCTCTGATTCTGTGAGATATGCTATTGAAATTTTGTTTGACATTGCATTAAATCCATATAGCAATTTTAGAAGTATGGCCATTTTCACTATATTGTTCTTCCTATCCAAGATCAAGTAATATCTTTCCATTCTCTGATATCCTCTTCAATCTCCTTTTTTAGGATATTGTAATTTTCAATGTAAAGATCTTTTAATTCCTTCATTAGATTCATTACTAAGTATTTCATTTGGATGCTATTTTGAAAGGTGTGGTTTCCCTAATTTCTCTCTCAGTGAACCTGTTGCTAGTATATAGGAATGCCATTGATTTTTGAGTATTGACTTTGTATCCAGCTATGCTACTGAATTTGCTTATTAAACCTAAAAGCCTTTTAGTGGAATTCTGGAATCTTCAATGTAGAATACCGTGTCATCTGCAAATAGTGACAATTTAACTTTTTCCATTTTTATCATTAATCCTTTTATTTCTTTCTCTTGTCTAATTGCTCTAGATAATGTTCTAGAACTGTATTGAATAATTTTCATCTTTGTCTTGTTCTTGATATTAATGTGAAAGCATTCAATTTTTGTCCATTTAATATGATAATGGCTGTTGGTTTGTCAAAGATGACTCTCATCAAGCTGAGACAAAGAGCATCTATTTCAATTTTCTGTAAAGTTTTATCATGAATTGGTGTCAAACTTTGTCAAACACTGTCTCTACATCTATTGCGATGATCATATGGTTTTTCTCCTTGGTTCTGTTACTATGGTGCATTACATTTACTGATTTGCAAATGTTGAACCATTTCTGAATCCCTGAGATAAATCCTACTTGGCCATAATGTATAATCTTCTTAATGATTTGATGCATTTTTGTTTGCAGTATCTTACTGAGAATTTCTGTCTCTATGTTCATTAGGGAGATTGGCCAATAGTTCTCTTCTTGGTTAGATCTTTCTCTGATTTTGGAATCAGGGTAATGCTTACTTCCAGGAATAAATTTGAGAGTACTGCTTCCCTTTAAATTTTATTAAACTGTTTGAGAAATAGCAGTGTTAGGTCTTGTCTTGGTTACTTTTTTCTCATTGTTTAAACAAAATACCTGACACCCAAAATTAGGGAAGTGGTTTATTTCTTAGAATTTGGAGGTTTCAGTCCATACTCAGCTGGCTCTAAGGCAAGGTGGCATAGTGAGGCTGGCATTCATGGTCCCTGCAAAACAGCAAGAGTGAACCATGCAAAAGAGAAAAAGACACACCTTCTTTCTGCCCTTACAATGTATTTTGGCTCTGCACCTGGGTAGATGTAACACTCACACCACCAAACCCAGTACTAGGCAATGAACCAATCATGAGTGCTGGATTCAGCCATGTCCATGATTGCATGAGGCTTGGGGTGGGGTATCTGAACACATAACAGGTCTTCTCTAAATTTCTTGTAGAATTCATCAATGAATCTGTCAGGGCCTAGTCTTTTGGTGGGGGGTAGGTTTTAATTTATATTTTCAGTTTCATTAACTGATACTGATTTATTTATGCAATTTCAACCATTTTATTCCTAATTACATGGATTTGAATTTTTTCTTCCCTTTTTTCATAAGGATTGATAAGGGATTTTCAATTTTATTTAGTCTATCAAAGAATCAACTATTCAATTCATTGATTTTTTGTATTGTTTTCTTAGCCTCCATTGTATTAATTTCTGCTTTGAGCTTTATAATCCCCACCCCCAAATAAACTTTGGGCTTCACTTGCTCTTCTTTTTTTAAATAAGCTTGAGGTTTCAGCATTAAATTACTTATTTGAACTCATTCACTCTGTTTTCCTAATATGAGTATTCATAGCTATAAATTTCCCTTGTAGGACTGCTTTCATTATGTCCCATGAGTTCCATTATATAGCATTATATTAGCATTATGATTTAATTGTAGAAAGTGTCTAATTTCTTCTTTAATTCTATTTGTAACCCATTGATGTTCAGGAGAGTGTTATTTAATTTCCATGTGTTTATGAAGTTCTTGTGGTTTATTTGTCATTAATTTCCAACTTCATTGCACTATGATCTGATAATACTTATGGGATAATTTCAATTCCTTTGTGTTACTTAAGCATGTTCTATGAGCCAGTATATGGTCTATATTAAAAATGTTCTGTGTGCAGCTGAGAAAAATGTGTATTCTGATGTTGTAGGGTGCAACACTCTGTAGAAATCTACGAAGTCCACTTGTTCAAAAGATTGGTTCAGTTCTAATATTTCATAGTTAATTTTTTGTCTAGTTGATCTATTTGTGATGGGGTATTGAGGTGCCCCATCATAATTGTATTAGTGCTTATTAGATTTTTCATGTCCATTAATATTTGTTTTATATACTTGGATGCACTGGTGTTTGTTGCATATATATTTATGATTATTATCTCTTCTTCTTAGATTGTTGTCTTTAACAAGGATGTAGTGATCATTTTTGTCTCCCTTAATCAGTCTTGGCTGGAAATCTACTTTGTGTGTAAATAGCATATCCTCTAGTTGGCTCCTTTTCCCCCCATCTGTTTAATTGCCCTGCCTGTTAGATTCATTCTATTGGGGTTTTAATTCTTATTATCTCTTTCTATAATATACTTCAGAATGTTTTGTAGTACTGGTTTAGTGTTCATGAATTTTCTCAAGTTTTTCATTTTGTTTTGTTTTGTTTGTACCGGGAATCAAACTCATGAATGCGCACTTGCAAGGCAGGTGCTTATGCTGCTGAGCTAATCCCCAGACTCCTCAGGTGTTATTTATCATGGAATTCTCTCTCTCTTTTTTAAGAGTTCTTATTTCTCCATAAATTTTGAAAGATACTTTTGCAGGGTACATCAATCTGGGTTGAAAGTTGTTTTGTTCTATGTCTTGCAATACTTCACACTAAGATATTCTTGACTTCAGGGTTTGTGTTGCTAAGTCTGCCTTGATTTTGAGATGGGCTTTCCTTTATAGGTGACTTATTCCTTTTGTTTAACAGCATTTAATATTCTATTCTTATGTTGAATTTCTGGAATCTTATTATGATATGCCTGGCTGTAGATTTGTTTTGATCATGGCTAACTGGAATTCTTTATGTCTCAATTATCTGTGTGCCAAATTCTTTTTCCACCAGGGAAATTTTATGTCATGACATATGTGAAAACTGTTTTTTTTTTTTACATCTTTATGCCATCTCTTGCATTTTCATTGACTTCAGTTCACCTTATGTTAGTTTCTTTTTATCATCTAGCAGCTGCTGCATTAATTTCTCATGGTCCCTTGCTTTTCAAAAGAAATCTTTCTTTTCATGATTGTTAACCACAACCCTGTCTTGTGCATCTGAGATTCTGTCCTCACACTGGCTCATTCTGCAACATCTTCTTTCAATGGAATTTTTAATATTCTGGTATCTATTTGAATCCATTCTATGGATTCCATTTCTTTCCTACATTGAGCATTCGTGAATTCCATTGTTTTCCTAATCTCTTCTCTTTTTTATAATCTATATCTCCTTTAGTGTCACTAAGCATGTCTTTCATTATGTTACCATCTCTGTAGTTATCTGAGAAATTATTTATGACTTCTTTGTTCTCTTGTTTGTTCACTTGTTGCTTCTACTGTTACCACTTCAGAGAGTCCAGGTGGATGGCTTCCGTATTTCTCTACCTCATTGTTCCCTGGGTTTGCATTTGGTAAACTGGACGTCTGGGGCTGTGTCTTGCTTAGGTGTATTCTCATTTTCTATTTTTATTTTTAGTTTAATTTCTGGGTTGATATTTGTAAACTGCCTATAGCGAATAGCTTTATTGTTAGTAATTAGAACCCTCAGGAAATGACTACTTCTCAGTGGTGTCTTCCAGGTGCAGTTGATTTTTGGGTTTTGGGTCTGTTTCACATCCTACTTTTTCAATTTATTGGGAATGAGAAGTTGCCACATACTTGACCCAGCCCCTGTTTCTTTGGCACTGACCTATATGATTTTTTATGACCCTCTGTGAATCTCATTGTCGATATACCAGGAAGACAGCTCATTTGAACTATAATATCACTTTGTCTAAAGAGATACAATCAGAAGTAAGAGTAGCATCCAGCACAGTCTAGAAAATGACAAACTGAGGTAACTACTTAGTTGACACCTTTAACTGTATGAACTGGATTTGTGGTTATATAATCTCAAATAAACCAGACTATCATAAACAGTAAATAAGCTCTCAATATGCCAATTTTGTCTTAAGGGAAAAAAATTTTAAATGGGCTAGGGGCAAAAATAGAAAGAAGAAAAGAAGGAGATTGGGAGCTAGCCTGGGCAACAAAAGCAGATCACACAAGCTTTGGGAAACTGGTGCAGAAGGCAGGAAGGGCACAGAGAAGGAAGATATAAAGACAAGAAAAGAACAGAACAACAACAACAAAACTAGAAACCATGTTCACATTTATATTTAAAAAACTAAAAAAATAAAGAAAGAAAATAAAAAATGAAAAAAGTCCATTTCATATTGTATCTCTGCTACCACTGCTAGGCAATGTGAGCAGAGTGCTTGAAGGTGATTAGGAGCCACTAGGTGGAGCCAGCGGCTACCCAGAGTCCCCAGCTTACCTGGCCTCTCTCCAAGAGGGCTCTCGCCAATTGCCCTCTGCTGCAGGACATCTCACCAGCTGCTGCAGTCACTGCTCTGCTCCGCTGGTGCTGTTCCCTGTGGAGGCCTCTCGGGTCACCAGCAGTTGCCGTGTGTCTGCAGGTTCAAGCTGCCCCTCCCACGCCGTGAGTCCCTGAAGAAAGCACCGCGGGCACCTCGTTCTTCTTTATTGAAATCTCTTTTTTCTCTCCCTATGGGCTTCAATTCTCACTTCAGATCCTTCCTGGGCCCCCAGACCCACTTCCTTCCTTCTTCACTTTCTCACATTGCTAGATTTCAGTGTCTAGACACCAAATCTCAGAGAAGCAGTTTCTCTGCTGCTCACTACTCTGCCGTGTTCCTGGAAGTCTTTTCCCTAACAGATTTTAATGTTAAGGATTTGTTATACAAATATTAGAGCAATGCACCAGTAAAAGAAGAACTACAAATTATAGCCTAGGAAATAGGTTTCCTGCCTAGGAGTAGAGAAATATGGGCAAAGATTGGAGTAAATAGAATGTAGACAGCAGAATTGAGGGAGTACAAGATTTTCTCTTTTGTTTGATTTCATGTTAGGATCCTTCTCTTTCCTGACAAAAGGCCTCATTCTCACAGAAGGTACTTGGCAAGGCTGTGATATCAACTAGTATTGTAATGATGTATCCTGGAGAGCGGCTTCAAGAATTCAGGGGTTTGTTTAGATTAATTGCCTTCGAAGTTTTCTGGCTCTCTAGTCTTGTCTTAATCTGTTTTTGTTGCTATTTCTAAACACCCAAGGCTGAATAGTTTTATAAAGAAATGAAACAAACGTCAGTTGAGTTGCATCTGGTGACAGGCTTTATAAGTGGCAAGTGAGTTGATGTACTTCAACTTTACAATTCCATCTGGAGGCAGCCTTTAAGTCAGAACACAACACTTAACTTCGGTCAGCCCTTGGATGCAGAACACACATGTTTTCTCTTATACACAGAAACGAGATGGCTTTCTAAATGTGGATCACTGGCCAGAGTTTTTGAGCTATGAAAGTTGCTGAAGAGATTTATTTTAAAAAAACAGTCACTGCTGACAGCACAAGTCAATGACACAGTGGGTCAAAAACTTGCTTACTCATGTGACACATTCAGTCTGCTCAACAAACTCAATCTGTTCAGTCTGCAAGGAGAGAATGATAACTCTGTTCAGGTTGGCAGGGAAAGCAGCTGTATTCCAGGCGAGCGGGGAGAATGAGGAAATGAAAGAACACTGGAACTTGTTTCAAGCATTAGCAGATGGTTAGAAGAGACAGAGCTAGGGCCTTCTTTCTCGTAACTGATACATAATCACTTCTCTCAGGTTTCAAAAGAATTTGGGCATTATTTCTCAACCACAGGTCTCCTAAAATGGGAAGTAATGGGACTATGACAAATTTGGAATACGCCAGGTAAATCAATTTTGCCTGTGTTACAAGAAGATTACAGATTATGGAAGCCTTAACAGTATGTTTGAGACAACTTCAAATCTCAGTGTGTTCTGATCAAAGTGAGGCAGGATATCTTGAGATTGCCACAAAAGCACTGAAGAGCCTGGTTCCATTTCCAATATTCTATCCTTGTGACGCAGCATTTTCTATAGTGACAACAACCAAAAGGAGACTATAAATATGGGGAAAAGAAAGAAGGGAAAAGATTGTGTCTCTCTATATATATCCATATACTATTGTTAGTTATCAAAAAGATCAGTTTGTGCTTTCATTGTTCAGTTGATCATTTTTATGCCTAAATCTTGTCATCTGAACAACTACTTTGAAGATAATAATATGCAATATATTAACCAATGTTAATCTCTTATTGTTTTGAAATTCTGTATCATTGTTTTTATTCTTTTTTATTTTTAAAATTTAAAAAAGCAGCACACTTTGGGTGTCATTCTCTCCCATCACTCCCAGATATAGTTGTAAGAAAACATGCTTTCTTTGGATTCTGTATTATGCTGAGTTATATAATTACTTTGTTATATTACAATGTAATAATAGAAAAAAAGTGCACAATAAATAAAACACACTTGAATCATACCAAAACTATTACCCTACATTTGGTCCATGGGAAAACTGTTTCCCATAAAAATTGCTTCCTCTGTCAAAATGTTGGAGACTGCTGCCCTATAGAATAGTGTATATAATAATTACTGTGTTTACACATTGTTCACATCAGATTAATGTAATAGGTAATCTAGAAGTTACTTAAAGTATATGGGAGGTATGCATAGATATGTAAACACTATCCTATTCTACATAAGGGACTTGAACATTAAGATTTTGGTATCCATGAGTATTCTAAAATGGATTCCCCACAGAAAACAGAGTATGACTTTCTCTAACCAACCACAGCTGATCACTGATTAATGATGCCCTAGGAAGCAGCACTCTGTTTAAGACTAAAAGAATGATACAGCCTAAACTCAGAATCTTCCCCTGAGAACATATTTCCTGAGATTCTCTAGTATCAGTCAGAGTACAAACAGGAAATCAGAAAGGATTGACTTTTTTGACTAATAGAATTTAACATTAGGAACGAGCAATGGAGAACTAACAAAGAATAACCCTGAGATAACACCGAGATAGGAACAGAAAAAAAACAGCTAGCACTTGTTGGACAGACTCAGGGAAGATATAGGGGTAATTAGAACCTACAGGTTTGGTGCCTCAGTAGTTTAAGGGCTTACCAAGGATGGGGTCCAGATTTTGAGCAGCAAGTTGGCTTCACTGGGCCTCAGAAACCAAAAGATAGCCTGGGAGATGGACTCAGAGCTGAGGAGGGAGCTCTGACCACTGGTGCCATGTATCCTCAGGAGCCACGCTACCTTGGTCTGGTAGACCAAAAGGACAGTCTTGGGAACTGGCCACTGCCTCCCCCTTCCTGTCCTTGCTCCACAGCACCCCCTGTTGGCAGAGCTGGCAAAGCCAAAATGGGATTTTAGAATCCCTATCCTAACTTCACAAAGTAGAGGGTAAAAAGTGGATTTGAAGCTGACAGAAAATGGCTTCATAGCCAACTCAGGTCAGTATAATTGTCCTTCTTATAACAAGAGGGGAACAATCGTTTAAGATCATAGTGTTAGCAGAAGCAGAAGCAAGAAAATTCCTTCTGTCTATAAGTACTAATTACCTTTGGGTTTTTATTTAGTCTTTTACCATGCAGTCCAGGTGGAGCCTCATCTAAAAGCTTTAATCCACTTGCATCTGTAGACAAGAAATATAGGGGACCAAGCAGGAAGCTGCTAGAAATAATAAGCAATATTTTGCATAGATGTGAGTATTCAAACAAAGGGCAAAAAGAATACTTAAATTTAGACTTGTACTGGAAAAACTTCAGGTAAATACATTTAAATAAGTTATTACATCTATTTTGAAAGCATTATTTTAGTAAGTAATGTTTTATTTTGATAAGTAGATTTTGGCAGATTTTTATGGAATTTCAGAAGTTCTAAAATTACTAGTTTTATGCTATCAAATCACTATTCAGTATGCTTCATAATTGCATTTAAAATCACACACTACGAGCCATGTGTGGAGGTACAAATGTAATTCCAGCACTTTGAGAGTCTGTGGCACAAGGAGGCCAAACATAAGCCCAGCCTAGCCTAGGCAACTGGAGGTTGGGATTTAGCTTTGTGTGAAGAGTCTGGGCTCCATGCTGAGAACCACAAGAGACAACTATACAGTATAAAAGAAATATCCTGTATATAAAGCATAAGGATATTTTACTGTGGTTTATTATATATATATATATATATATATATCCTAGGAATATATTTATATTACTCATAAAAGCTACCTGTAGCTGAAATGCTGTTTCCTTTGTTTCTATAAATTGTGTACAGCCACAGGATGAATTTTAGTGAATCTGAATTTACACATATCAGAAACTTTAATACACTAGCAATTCAAATTTCTGATTTCAGGTGTGTGTAAAGGATTAATTTTGGGTTTTTCAGTACCTTTCAAATATTCTTATTGATGGGTTTCTTTAAAAGGAGCTAATGAATCTTTTTGGCTTTGTATGTTTTCCAATTTTTAACATGCACCTCTCCTCAGAACATTGATTTCTCAGTAGTAAAATGAAATCAATGCACTGTATTAGTGGTTTTCTCTGGAGACCTGTTGGAAGTATTTTAGGGACCCCATGAATGTTAAGCGTAGCCAGTCCTTGATTATGTCAGCCTGAAGAGGGTTAGATCAAAAAGGGCTCACGTGGACCGCATTCCCAACTCCCACTTTAGTTAGGATAGCTTCAATTTTCGTGGATTTCATGTACAAAGACTACTTACGGAAAAGTACTTTAAACAGTATTTGAAGGCTCTTGAACTATATGTGGTATCCAAAGCCTTTTCAGGTGTGACATAACATCATCCCTTCCTTGGAAATCTTCTCCACAGATGCCTTTACTCTGCAGCCTCTTTAGCTACAAAAGAGGTAAACAAATCCTACTTACAGGAGATTGTCCTTCTAAAACCCATGTTCTTTGACTGGCTCCTGGTCACAAACATGCCCTGTGTAATGTGTAACATGCCCTTGAATTAGTAATTACTGAGTTATTTTTGTTTTCCTCAAAGCTGTTCTAGTTCTGGATTAGAGTTTTGCGCCATCTGCTGGACAGATTTATTTTGCACATATAAAAGCTGTAATATGCATTATTCTCATAAGTATTTTTAAAAGTTTTACCAATTCCTTAAAATATTAAAAATTGTGAATTCCATAGTTTTTATAAGAATGTGTGAATGCAGATAGAAAGTAAGTGTAAACACAAATTTAGAGACATCTGCTAATATGTAGCACTTTTCTAACATGGACTTGAAGGGATATATTTTCATTTTTTGTTTTTAAATGAACATTTGATATCACTACATTTATTCAGGTTATGGAAATGTAAGAAGGAAATATGAGGTTCATGTAGAGGGACTGTTCTGCATCACTATCGTTTTTGTTTCTTAAGGCTTGCTTTTGTTTCATGGAAAACAGGAATCTTACGCTCTGATTTAACAGGATAGGGTTAGGGGAGAGACAAAGGGTTGAGTCCTGGAAAAAAGCACCTTGATTTCTCAGAATCACTGCACTGACCAGCAAGCTACTATTCCTGTGGAAAATGTGTTGTTTATCCTTTCTCTTAGT